CTCGCAGTGCTTGGCGGCCTTCCGTAATGCGGCGATGAATTCTTTGGCCGACTCGCCGGGCCATTGATCCCTCTGCTCGAAGGTGTGGCGCCATGCGATGACGGACATCTTGGGGTGGAAGTGCTCTTTCAGTAGCTTCTTCAGATCTGCGTAGCTGACAGACTCTACTGGAACAGGTGCTGCAAGTTTTCTGCGATGTCGAAGGCGTCTTGACCGCAAACACAAAGCAGGGTGGCAGCCTTCAAGCTCTCTTCCCTCACTTGGTTTGCCTTGAAGTAGTTCTCCACCCTGGCTACGTATGACTCCCACCGCTCTGGATGTGAGACGTCGAATTCCGAAAGCCTTCCGATTTTTGCCATCTTTAGATCTTCAGGAGACGGGTCTATCAGCCAGCCTACCCCCGAATGCGCACCGGATTGGCGGGCAGCTGCCGAGTCGACGCCGTTCCTTTCCGCCGCTCAGGACTCCTTGGGTAAGCTTACACTTCTTCCTTTCCAGGTAGTGCAAGGCATCCCACCTTCGTCACCAGTGTTGAGTCCTTGGCGGGAAGCAGACACGAGAAGCAGTTGAAGTTCTCAGTTTCCTTTATTCAGCGTTCAGCTTACAAGTAGATGGCTTCAGCAGCTCCCCAAACCTCCCAGCTTCTTATATAGACGCTTCCCGGGTAAATGTGTTACTTTTCCCGCGCCAGCACCCGCGCATGCGCACGGCGCTGGCGACAGCCTGTCTGGTCCCGGGCAGCTTTGCACCTGCCCGGGACTGCCTGCAAACGCCCGAGCCGTTTGCAAGGCTCGGGACATAACAGTACCCATTTATCTATTCACAGTCACCTGCTTTTGAACTGCTGGGTAGGCAGGAGCTGGAGCATGTGGCAGGAACTCACCCCCTCCTATGGCAGCAAATGGGCCTTGAACTCAAGCTTACCAATCATCAGCCTAGTGTCCTAACCTCCTAAGCCAACACACACTCCCTTGTTCATTTAACTTAATATGGTGGAATCATAACTCTAGTATTAGACTAATGTGCTAGCTATTTTTTAATATATATATATATATATATATATGGAATTGAAAGGACAGCAAAGCAAGCATACAATGCTCTCCTATAATGCAGGGTTTCTTCAACTTTTCAAAAGCATGGAACACCAGTTTTTTTTTTTAAAGAGAAATATCTTGACTGTTACTTTCAAAATAAATAAAAGGATAAATTGATAAATTCAGTACCTGGCTTGCCTTTGCACAGCTCATTTGCCTGGGTGTGTATGTCTTGTGCATGGAGATCACAGATAACAGAGCACCAATGAGCTAGTTGGGCACCCAGCCTGAAGGGCCACACTTCAAGCTGCCCACTGGAGGTCAGCTGGACTTGTATAACACATCAGTAAGTTGTTCACAGAGAACTGGTATTCCTTAGAACACAGCGAAATCCAACCCATGCAGCTTGTTCCTTTCCTCTTCCATCCTTCAGGGAAGTAGAAATTTGGTTTTTTCTTCCCTAGTGCCAGTCCCTGGTGCCTGTCCATAAAGATACATTTGTTCTCAGGAATATCAGGGCTCTTAAGGAGACTCATGTTCATCATTAATTACATTTTCTTTGCTTAAAGAAAATAATCAAATGTGCAGGATTGTAACAATAAATCATGTAAGCCAGTTAGAAGCAAATGATAGTATATGCAAGTGCTAAAAAACAGCAGGAATGGAGCATACATTGACTGAATTTCCTAGAATAAGTTCGTAACAATTTTCCTGCGTTATTTTTAGTCCACTAGCAAAAGATCCAGATATTAGGCCCCAATTACTTTTCAGGAACCTCATATTTTCCCTGGCTCTAAATATGCTGCCCTGTAATCTTTTGCAAAGGCCATTCTGATCTGCTAAAGATTTGTTTGTTTCTTTCGCTGCCTTGCCTGAGAATCTTTTATGTGAAGTTGCTGTGAGCAATTTTCTGACTCAGCAGCAGGCCTCCGGTGCCAAACTTCCAGTTTCCAGACAAGCTGTCTTGACATCTGTTTGGCGTTGGCTGAAGAAGGGTCTTTTTCTCATTATATTAATCTCAGAAGAAAAAAGATTTTTTTAAAAAAAGAAAAGCTACGAGTGAGCTAAATGGAAGAGGGGAGATGTCTTGATGAATATATCTGTATCACAGTTACACTCCCAACATAATCCTCTTGCAATTGAAATACAAATTCAGCTATGCAAACGACAAATCCAACTTTGTCCCCTGAATAATGATTATCAGCCTTGTAGGAAAAATGAGAACTGGGGAAGATGGAACCCTCCTTTGCATTCCATCTTTGAAAATGAATCAGTACATCCAACAGTATCATGACATAGATGGAGGAGGCAGGTCTTTTGTTGTATCAAATAAAACAGTTCAGTGGGAAGCTGCTAGGAGCATTTATGTTTGTGCATTGCATACAAATGATCCTATATCCAATGTTGGCATCTCTCATGAAAATAATCCTGTAGCAGGATTGTAGAATCCTCTATTCTGAAGTGCCGCAGCTAATCAAAATGGAAGAAACTCGGCTGCATAGACAAAACACTGGAACAAGTATCTTACAGGTAGTCCTTGGCTTACAACAATAACCGAGGCCAGAATTTCTGTTGTCAAGCAAGGCTGTTGTTAAGTGAGTTGCTTCCAGTTTTATGACCCTTTTTGCCATGATTATTAAGGGGATAACTGCAGTTTTTAAGAAAATCATTTGATCATTAGACTGGTTTCCCTCATTGACTTTGCTTGTTGGAAGCCAGTTGGGAAGATTAGGAAATGGCGATCACCTGACCCTGGGATGCCACAAACATCCTAAGCACATGCCAGTTTCCAAGTGCCTGAGTTTTGATCATGCGATCCTGGGAATGTTGCAACGTTCCTAAGTGCAAAGACCAGTTATAAGTCACTTTTTTTCAGTGCCACTATAACTTCAAATGGTTGCGCAATGAAGAGTTGTAAGTCTAGGATTACCTGTATAGCTTTTTTGCATTTCATTAGAAATGTTGTTTCTGCCACAGTGTTCGGTTTTCTGCATTTCCCTTTGGTTGATCAAGCCAGTTATTGTGTACGGTTTTAAAAGCCTGTTTGCAGGACACGAATGTAGTAATATTCTCCCATGGGTGTTTCCTTAACAACTATTTTTAAGAAGTATGAAAAGATAAAGACTCCCTTGAGTCTCCTCCTAATTACATGGACATATTACTATGGTTTTCTTCAGCAACAGCCTCTTTGCTGTTGCCTTCTTTCATAGGATTACCGCACTGGTTTGCAGAATGCCAGATGATCTCAAGATGATTGCAGAAATGGAGAGAATTTTCTCATTGCTGCCCCCAAGCAGTCAACCTATTATAGTAGCCCTGCAGTTTTGCTTTATTTCTTTTTTTTCTTTTTAATTTTCAAATCCAGTCCCTTGCCCTGTTGGTTTCCTGTCCAAGTACTAACCAGGTCTGGTTGTGCATTTTGAAACCAACCAAGCTCAAACTAGTGTTACCACTGAGCTCTATACAGAGAAGCACCCTGTCTTGAATAAGAAAGGGGATATAATTTTACCATAATTAGCAGCTGATAGTCTTACTTTTCTTAGATTGTTTGATCTTCCTTTAAGTCCAAGTTGGATGTCACTTTCATATCCTGAATTAACAAATTTGATAAACATACTTAGGTCATGACAATCCCAAGATGTTCCCAAGATCTAGTACTGTTAAAGAGAAAACTCTTTGGTAAACATGTTCTCTATATGATGTATGTTTGTGTGTGTATAAATGTAGACATATGTAGCCCACAGACATATATCAGTGTGATGTTGCTGTTTCTGGAAGAAAAGAAACAGTTCAGCTTTCTCCATAAAGACAATACAGAGTTACTATTTCCATCAAGTTATTGATTTGGTAAAAAGGAATAATTTTCCTCCAGATCAGTGGTTCTCAACCTTTCTAATGCCGCGACCCCATAATACAGTTCCCCATGTTGTGATGACCCCCAACCACTTATATATCACCGGGTGCCAGGGGCGTGGCCAAAGAAAAGGGGGAAAAATGGCAGACAGCCTTGTTTGGCGACCCCCGTGAAATGGTCGTTCGACCCCAAATGGGGTCCCGACCCACAGGTTGAGAACCACTGCTCCAGATCATTCCTTTCTTAAAAGCGTTTCTCAAAACTAAACTACCAGTAGGCTAATTCTCACTTGAAAGCCCATGTCTCTTCAGCTGTTTGAGAATCCCTGCCATCCTAACCTTGTCTCTTTACCTCTGCTTTAAAAGGGATAAATTAAAAAGGAAGACTTTATTTTTAGAATGATTTTTTTTTTTAGTATGGATTATACAAGGGCTAGATTAGCAGTCATGAATTTCTGTACATAAGGGAGGGTTTAATGAGAAATCCCATTTTAAAATAATGATGCCAAATGTCCATAAAAAGGAAAGGTACAGGTTTCCTTTGCTCAGTCGTGTCCAACTGTAGGAGGTGGTGCTCATATCTGCTTCTTAGCCGAAGAAGCCAGCTTTGACCAAAGAAATTTCCATAGTCATGTAACCAGCATGACCATACACTGAGGCACTATTACTTTCCCACCGAAGTGCTACCTATATATCTACTTGCATTTGCATGTTTCAAACTGCTAGATTGGCAGGAGCTGAGGCAAGAATGGAGCTTACCCTGCCATAGGGTACTTGGGCCACAAAATGCCAACTTTCCACTTGACAGCCCAGCATCTTAACCATTAGCCCATAACTGCATTTAAAAAAACTTTACTTTGGGGAAGAGGAATAACAAGAGAAGACAGCTATCATACAACCAGGTTTACAAATGAGAATGAATAAGTTATTCCAGATGCTTTAACTCTAACAATGTCTCAGCCTGTACTTTCTCACTTTTTTATAGGGGGTAAAAAAAACTCTTAGTGAATAGTTACAATCAGAAGGGAGAATCGTAAATGAATGTCAAGGGTATAATGTAGATAAGTTCTCTTAGAATATCAATGCTTATCCATCTCTTCTTTTTTATTCTAGGATGCATTTCGGGCCTTTCATCCAGATATCACCTTTGTAAAGAAGTTTCTTAAGCCATTATTGATTGGAGAACTTGATCCAGGAGAACCCAACCAAGATAGAGGAAAGAATGTAAGTAAGAGATGTCTTCCCTTTTTTTAAAATGAGAGAAGGAGACCAAAGAGAGCCTGAAGGAAGGGATATCACATGAAGCATCAGTAAGAGAGAAATGAAGAGAAGGATTTATTTATTTATTTATGAGACTTATATACCGCTTTTAAGTGCAAGCACTCTCTAAGCGGTATACACCAGTAAGCAATGTATGTATATATTTACATTGCCCCCAACAATCTGGGTCCTCATTTTACATACCTCGGAAGGATGGAAGGCTGAGTCAACCTTGAGCCGGTGAGATTTGAACCGCTGACCTGCTGAACACAGTCAGCTAAAGTGGCCTGCAGTACTGCACTCTAACTGCTACGCCACCTCGGCTCTTCTTTTGATTGAGGTTAAAAATAGGGTAGCAGGAAAATAAAGTGGGAAAGATAGTAACGAAACGTAGAGAAACTGAAGACAAAGTTAATAGCAAGTGCCTTAAGTTGGGAATACACTGACGTGTCTCCTTACTTAATATTAGTTGAAATCTTCTTGGGCTGAAAGAAATCCACACATAAAGCCTTTACATTAAGGTATTTCACTCAATAGTTGTGCAAATCTTTGAAGGGGTGTTTCATTTTAATAAAGACTCAGAAGAAGCAACCTTTAGAAGAGCCAAATGTTGCTTCACTTTGTTCTTCCTCCTCCTCCTCCTCCTCCTCTTCCCCTTCCCCCTCCATAAAAGACATTGCAAACTAAACTCAGAAAGGAAAAGGAAAAACAGAAAGTGCAAGAGAAAAGAAAATAAGCAAAAAAGAAAGAAAATGAGAAAAATAAGAGAAAGAAAAGAAATGTTTTAAAAAATGACTTCCATTTTTCATTACAAGCATGAACAAATCTAGTAATTCTTCAATCTCCATAAGATTGCATACAAGCATGTCTTCTTCCTATAACACATCTCTTATCCATATGCATATCTATAAATCATTGATATTACAGACCAAGGCTAGCAAAATGTCTATAAAGAATTCAGAGAATTTTATAGAAACATATTTTATTTTAACATATCTTATATTAATCTTAGTGAAACAAACCAAAGTACTTTGTACTTCTTCCTTTTGTCTCTAGCAATTTTGATCTTTAATTCATTCAGATCCCTTCTTTGAAGCTTTAGTAAATCTCTTGTGAACCCAATAAAGCATCGTTTCCCAAGTCATTCTCTTGGTTTATCATTTGTATTTCCACTTGTCTGTCATTTCTTTTTTACTGTCCTTTGGACACAGTCGATCCATAGAAGCAGAAATCATTGCTGACATTGTAGTTGCTAGTTTCTGTCCCCATTCTTCAAATCTCTCCTGGAGTATTTCAAATTTCATACCATTTTCTGTCATTTTGTTATTGCTAATCAATAAAAGGTAACCCTGCCCCTCTCTTTTTTCTTTTCAGTTTCTTTTTATGCATGAAATCTTTCATCCTCTCTAGTGTAGAATTTCTGAAATCATAAAGTCTTAAATTTCTATTAGAATGTATGGTAAATTAAACAATTTGATTCCCATAAAAGTGCTGTTTATATATTTTCAAAATCTTATAGCAAAAGTCCTAATCCAAATTTGTGTGATCCCTTAATTCATTTATAACTTTCTTAAGTTAAAATTTTAATTAGCTTTTTGCTGTTTATTTCAAATTCTTTAAATTCTTAAACTTATAGTTATTTTTCTTTTATTCTGAAATGAAAGTAAACTCACCATGTGGCTTTGCAAACTTATCATTTTGAAGATCTCTATTAGTGTTCCGATAGTTAAATAGGTAACTCATAAAAGTGATTAGAAAGTGAGGTTAGTCCTTTAAAAGCCTCCACAGCTATTATTTCTCTCTATTTCCCAGCATTAAAACACTCAGTAAAAAGCTATCCTGTGGGGATTTTGTTTGTTTATTTTATTTGCCACCCATTTTGCCATGAGGAGATATGGGGTAGCAGGGAGACTCAGGATAGCAGGAAGAAGCCAACTGGAGCACAAGTGAGTGCTCTCCTGTCTTTATCTGGAGAGGTTCCATGGTACTTAACAAGTTTCATCTGAGATCAAGTTTCCCAGACTAAGTTAAATCCAAAAATGCTAGAAGCTTGGCATTCAGACCTATCACAATATCATAAATAGACAGATAGAGCTACGCTATATTTCCACACCATTCAAAAAAGACAATAAAAATCTAAGATGGAAACAAAAAGACCAGAAAATACGTTTTCTCCAACAACCAATAACCAGATAAGCATTAACATCAAACAAGCAATCTTGCAGGAAACAATACTCTAATCAAGGAACTATCAAGGATAAAACCACACTCCCACTGGGGGGACAAGTTCTGTATAGAAACAGGGAGCAAACCTCATACCTACTAGCACTGATGGTGTAACCCAGTTGGGTAATGAAACATCTGAAAGCAAGCAAGCAAGCACAGAAAACACAAGGATTCCCCTCTGAGATACATGTATTCTCTTCCATGGAACTGTTCTACTTCACAGTCCTTTGGTCATGACCTCTATTTGTTCAGAGATGGGTTAGCTTGCCATCCCTCATCAAAAAGCCTGTCTTCTGGACTTCTTCTGGTTTCAAAATTGGAAGTTCCAGTTGCAACATTAAAAGTGCAAGGACATTTGTCTGTTCAAAACATATGCAAAAAATTATTCCCATACTTCAACTGTTGATTGAGGCTTTAAGATGATTTGAAATACCTTGATGAAGACTGTTGTGTTGCCTTTGAAGTATGAACTTTGCTGAGGCAAAGCTCAGACTCCTCGCAGGAGACTAAGCATGCAGCTGAGATTAGAAACAGTGGTACAAAGAATATTGAATGTAAATTACTCAAGCAAATATTCAGGGAATTTTCATCATTTCTTATTCCACCTGCTAGGATTTTGCTCCCTACCTCCTCTTGGGAATTCCTTAATCCATGCTTTTTCTCAGGATTTAAAGCACCTTTTCATTTTCGAATCTAAAGTGCTCACAGCCCTCTCCCTTTTCCCTCTTCTTCACATGAGATCAGGCCTGGTTTTTCTGTCTGAAAGCATCCTGTGGCCTTTTAGTAACCTGATGCTTTTCTGAACTCTAACTTGGAAGGTAGCTCACAGATATGACTCTGCCTCTTCTTTCTTATCTGTCCCTTGTCTCCCAGCCATTCAGAATTCCTCAGCTCCCAGCTGTTCAGTTATCAATTATTCAGTCACTCTGGTTTGCTTGAGCAGTCACAAGCAAAAGTCCTTCCATTCCCTCTTTTCTTTTTGGAAGGCTGCAATTAAGATAACAAGCCAATGTCTAAACATCACCCTGCAAATGCCCCATTAATGCTTTCAGTATTCCACATCACAGAAAGTGAGTAGTGATGCTTAAGTGGTTAATTAATTGGTTCCTACAGCCTGCAGCTAGGTGGAAATATTGAGAAGCTTAAGGTATATCAAGTTATATTTCATTAAATTAGTCCTGACAGTGGTCACAGCAGCCACCACGATTTGCAATGGCAAAATACTTTGACACTTATGCTCCCAAAACTTCAGGGTCACGAACTGAGCTCATTACCTTTTTACCATTTATATAGAGAAGACCTTTTGTAAAACAGCTTGTGCCATCTATATCTGAAGGATGATACAAAAGAGATGGCTGAGTAGCAAGGCCCCTACTGCTCTGAACCCAAATAGATACCTGTCATGTTTAAAACGCTACTTGAGTTTTTATTTAACAGCCAACAGTAAAGTCAAGAAGAGTTCAGAAATAAAAAGTAGGACTCTGTGTTCTGTGCATCCTTGAATCTAGAATGTAGCATTCAGAGAATCAGCGTTTATATAATGTTTTTTTGTGTTATGTTACATCATGTCAGTATATTTTTATCCTGCCTGTATTATTTTTGTAAATTACTCAAGGTGACAAACATACTCCTTTCTCCTCCTATTTCCCCACAACAACCACACTGTGAGGCTAATTGGACTAATAGAGCCATTGGTCCAAGGTCATCCAGCTTGATTTCATGCTTAAGGCAGGACTAGAACTCTCTCTCCTCAGTCTCAGTCACCTAGACCAGGGATCCCCAACCCCTGGTCTGTGGGCCGGTACCGGCAGTGGCATGCCAGCAAACGGTCCGCACAAACAAGCAAAGCTCCATCCATGGGATGCAGATGACACACAAAACCACGCGCCCTCTGGTCCACGGAAAAGCTTTTCTCTGTGGAACGGTTCCTGGTGCCAAATGGTTGGGGACCTCTGGCCTAGAACAATATTAATATATATTTTTCTTCCATTCAGTTGCGTCTAATTCTCAGAGACTGCCTGGACCGGTCTCTGCATTTTTCTTGTCAAGGTTTTTCAGAGGTGCTTTGCCATTTTTGAGAAGGGGTTTCCTAGGGCTGAAAGAGAGTGACTGACCCAAAGTCCTCCAGCCAGTATTTGGGCTTAAGGGAGGGATACACAGTCTACTGATTTCTAAATTGGTGCCTTAATCCCTACAACAAACTGGCTCTGTATAAACTGATGTGGGATGGATCGGGTGGGGTGGGGTAGGGTAGTATGTATGGTGTGGTATGGTATATATTTAATGATTTTACAGGGCAGTTGAAGTATATGTTATGTGTTGAAGATTATATAGAATTCTTGATACACAATCAAGCACTGAATCCATGAAGTTCAGCATTGGCCTGACAGAGCAGAATTAGCAGGGTGAAGATTGTGTAGTGCTTAAAAGTGAAGCCGCCCATTTGAGTATAAAACACCTGGGTTTTTTTTCCAATATCTTGTTTTTTCCTTATTTTCAGCCTCAGCTGATAGAAGATTTCCGTGCTCTGAGAAAGACAGCTGAGGACATGAAGCTATTCAAAAGCGATCCTGTATTTTTCTCCCTTTATTTGGGTCACATCATTGTGATGGAAATTTTGGCTTGGTTAATGGTATCATATTGTGGGACGAGTTGGAGTATAACCTTTGTACTTTCCATCATCCTTACAGTCTCTCAGGTGAGATTTTGTTTGCTAAATACAAAATGTTCATTTGTCACTGAACTCTTTAAATAAATGCACAAGTTATTTAAACTTCCACGCAACTGTGCTTTTTGGAGGGGAAAGTGAAATAAATTATAATTCAAGAAACTAAAAGCAGGAAGTCATTATTAGAAAGGTGATGTGTTGTCAGTCTTTTTTTTTTTTTTGCTCTCACCCTAAATATTTGCAAACCTGTCTGCTTTTGTCTTGCAAACTGATTAAATTTATCCCTCACACACATATGCACACACCACTTTTTAATTGGTTTTTGCCAAGTAAAAGAAAATCCTACTAGGTTTCGGCACTGCCCAGGCCTAGAGTAATGACAACCCAATATCCCGTGTTCCACACAATTGAGTATTAATGACTGAAGATCAGCTTGCAAGTGTTGTATAGAAAGCCACTTGCACTATTTAACATCTCATTTTAAGAACTAGAGGCCAGGAAGCAAGAGAGTCTGGGCAAAAGCAGAGAAACTGGAGGAGATGCAGATCTGCTCCATGGTAGGGAAAGAGGCAGTGACAAGATAGTCAGGCATTGGATAGTCACTCTGAGTGCAGAGATTTCGGCACTAGGATCAAATATTGGGGAAAAAAGTGACTTATGACCATCTCAACAACTCCATAGTCACTTGATCAAAATTCAGGTGCTTGGCAACTAGCATCTATTTACCGTGATTGCAGCATTCCGGGGGAGTCATGTGATCACCATGTTCTGATCTTCCCAACTGGCTTCCAACGAGCAAGTCAATGGGAGAAATCAGATTTGCTTAATGACCTTGTGGTTTGCTTAACAACTGCAGTGATTTGCTTAACAACTGTGACAAAAAAGGTTGTAAAAATTAGGCTTATTGAACAACTGCCTTGCATAACAGTGGAAATTCAGGTCCCAATTGTCGTAGATCCAGGACTACCTGTATTCAGATTTTTTTTCCCTTTGAACACAAATGCAATATTTGGAGAAGCAGTACTGAATATTGCTTACTGTTGACAATGGCTGCTGTAGGTCTACTAAAAGTAAATTTGGAGACCCATTTCTCTGGCTTATGAACAGACAATGTGATATTTGAATTCATTTTGTTTCCACTGCCCTGATAGCAAAAGCATACAGAACTCTGAGAAGAAAACATATATAAATACATGTGTTTTTATATAAACTAAGAGTGGACAACTTTAATTTAGTTAGTTGTCCCGTTAATTAAAATGGAAAATAAGATGTAGATCAGTTATATACAGTATGATGTTACTGTATGGATCAAAGGCAAAATTTTCCTCTCCTGTTTTTAGGGAAGGAATGGACTTTGTAGTTTTGTAGGTTTACTAAGCTCTGATTTTTGTAGTTCAAATTTAAGTGAGCTGAGAGCTGCAAGAAAAGCATTAAAGACTAGATGTGCAGCTGATGGATGGCAAGATGCCTATTGTGCCATCTTAAAGGTATCTTTGTATTCCTTAATCCTTTTCTTTTCTTCCCAGGCCCAGGCTGGGTGGTTGCAGCATGACTTTGGACATCTCTCTGTATTTCAGAAGTCTGTATGGAACCATATAGTTCATAAGTTTGTGATTGGTCACTTGAAGGTAAGGCATATGCCTGTCAAATTACAGTAGAATAACTGCAGCAAGATATAATGATGCTATGTTGCCCACTCTTTTTTGAAACAACCTCTGGGCCTTAAACATCATCATGATAGGACATATTCAGAGTAAATGGGCTTCCCAATTCAGGAAAATTTTGGGGAACCTGTTGGTCATATTTTACTCTTAAATTCTAGAACCAAGCCTACCTGATTTGCTTCAGAGTAAGGAATAAGCAATCCGTTTTAGACTAGTTTGTGTAAAGAATTGTATGCTGATAACCAGCATTCATAGATCCTAAACAGTATTAAAGAAGAAGAAGCACACCTTTCTTTGCAATAATTACATCAGCATTTTAGCTAGATCCAACTTAATATACATTTGCATGGGAAGAATTTGTAATCCAAAAACCAAAATTGAAAGATCTACTTGAGGGTAAGTTAATTATAGTAATGGTCAATAAGCTCTTGAAAGCACAACAAAACAGGGAACATGGCCAATAATGAGAGATGCTAGGAATTGTAGTTACAAGTAAGAGGTTTAAGGTTGATATCAGGACAGCTTCCTGATTGTACTAAAGAACACATAGAACAGATTGCTACAACATGTGGTTCTTCTTTACTAGACACCTTCCATCAGAATCTGCATGCTCCTCTCTCAGAGATATTCTTACAGATCCTGTACTGAGCATGGGCTAGATTAGATGATTTATGGCTACTTCCAGCTCTATGATTCTATGTTAATACATGGAATGGAGAAAATGAATAAGGCAAGGCAAAATAAGATAACCATTATTGTCATTTTTTTACTGTGGGCACAATGGCACACATCAAAAATGAAATTTAGTTTCCCACTCCCAAGGTGAACACATACATGACACACACCTAAACATACTATATACAACATATGTATACACCCACACCCCTACATATACATAACAAATAAATATTAAACACTGTCCATCTTGAATATATAACGGAAGGAGGAAGCTTGAGAGTTCACAAGTTTAATGCTGTATGGAATGAAATTATGGCTGAATATGTTCTGCTTCGGATACCACGAAGCCTCCTCCCAGAAGGTAACAAGGAAAACAAGTCATGAAGAAGATGTATAGATTCCCAGACAATCTTATAGACCCTGCTCAAGCAACGCTTCTGTGCTATGTCCTGGATGGGAGGGAAGGAACCGCCAATGATCTTTTCGGCCATCCTCACCACTCTCTGCACCTCCTTCCTATCTGAAGCAGTGATGCTTCCAAACCAGGCTGTGATGCTGTATGACAGGAGAAGGAAGATGTGTTTTTCTCATGCAATGCAGAAAATGCAGGCACTGCTGTGTCTGCTTCACCAGTGTCTCACTGTTGAGTGACCAAGCCAGCCTACTTGTTAGCTGCACACCCAGGAATTTGATGCTGGTAACCATCTCCACAGGTGAATCATTAATGCACAGAGAAGTGTGGCTGTGCCTGCTTTTTCTCAAATCAACAATGATCTCTTTGGTTTTTCCAGTATTTAAAACTAGGCTGTAATAAACAGAAGTCATCTAATTAAGCTGATTAGAAGAACACTTAGAATATCTTTGTTTAAAAAATCTTCATATAACACATACAGGTAGTTGTCATTTAGCAATCACAATTGGAATTGGCAACTTGTTTAGTGTTCATTTGCATAAACAAGTCAGTCACTAAACAGGACTATATATCTTGTAGAATCTGCCATCACAAAATGTAATGGCTACTACCTTGGATGGCTTTAAAGAAAATTGGCTCAATTCATAGAGAACAGCTCTGTCAAGACAACTGGTCTTTTAACTATTCTCTATAGATATTCTTGGGTCAGGTTAAATAGTTATTTCAGCAGGTTAAATCTTCTGCAAGAAATATAGGAACACAACTTGCAATTAAGTAGCAAAAATGTGCTGAATTCAGACCCTCACTTTTAATGTAAGGAAGTTGTTTATTTTGTATTTTAATACCAATATAGTTAATACATATCCCCCAAAATAATGCATGAAATCTAACATTTCCTGCTTTTCATAATTCTTTGAAAATAACAATACATATATGAGGAAGTTATATATACAAAAGCATATCATTTGGTAAACAAGCATTACAAAATGAGAAATAAAACATCATAAACTATTGTAGGCAATCCAATTTTTTAAATAGCAGAAAAAGAATACATTTTTAAGCCATTGTATAATTAATGAAGAATGGGTGCCCTTCCAACCTTGGGGTATTATATTTTGCAATCATAAAAGCACACAGTATCTATTTCCATTGTCCTTCTGTTTCCAAGCCACTGGTATAGAATTGAAAAGAACATAGGGATCCCCAAAAACAATGACCCTTCTGGAACAAAAGTAATACATGAAACAACTTCTATGTAAAAGGGAGCCACTGTAATAGAAGAGCACATCATATGATCCAATGTTGTATTTTGAGCACATCTCCAAACATTAGATGAATCTATTGAATTCTTCCTTGCAACGACATAAAATAATAATTAACTGTAACATAGAAATGTGACACACAGATGTCAACATTTCTTCTGTTCATGTTCATAGCTGGGTGTTACCTGATCCCATGTCCTCCCATATTTTTGCATATGTAATTCTATTATTAGTTATTATTGCTTTATTATTGTGTAAAGAACATTCTGGAGGATTTCTGGCTAACAGCCCATTTCTAAAGGACAAGCGATGTCTTAATCTAAATTTGCAATTTTAGCAAATAATATTTATGTTGCAATTCTTAAATAACAACCAGAAAATTGTCTCCTAATTCTATTAAGTGATCTACAGTACTGTATACATTCCATATTGTGCCATTGCATGCCATGCTTGTCTGGCAATTCATATCAAAGGAGGGAGAATTCCTTATTTGGCAGAACTCCAAACATTTTTATATTTACATTTGATGCCTTGCCAAGTATTAGTTGGTTGCAGAAGATATGTTGAGGAAAGAGTTATAAGGGACTCTATATGTCTTTCAGGTGATTTCACAAATATTTATCATCTTGAATATAAACTATTACCTGTTATGAAAAGGTTATCCAGCTAAAAGGCAGCACTGACTGACCTTGGCTAATCTCAAAAAAGGCTAAGTGAGTTCAGATTTGTATTGGATGAGAGATAACCAGCAAACTGTATGGCTGAAGACTAAGAAATCAAAAGAATCTCAGAAGCAATGGAGAACTACTATGTCGTTGCAAAGAAAATCATAGATAAAAGATTGTCTATGAAGTTATCAAGGGGAGAGCTTACATTTTTAATCCCCCTCTGGGGGTGTTCAAATGATCACTTTGACAGCAATAAAAAATGGATTCTCCATGTGTTTCCACAGGGTGCTTCAGCAAATTGGTGGAATCACCGGCACTTTCAGCACCATGCAAAGCCAAATATCTTTAAGAAAGACCCAGATGTGAACATGCTGCATCTCTTTGTCTTGGGAGACACCCAGCCTGTGGAGGTAAGATGAAAGGATGTCAATTCAAGCACTTCAGGTCCAAAGAAAATTCCAAAGGTAATAGAGACCCAGGAAAATTTATTTGTTTGTTTGTTTGTTTGTTTGTTTATGAGACTTATATACCGCTTTAAGTGCAAGCACTCTCTAAGCGGTGTACACCAGTAAGCAATGTATATATATATTTACATTGCCTCCAACAATCTGGGTCCTCATTTTACCTACCCCGGAAGGATGGAAGGCTGAGTCAACTTTGAGCCGGTGAGATTTGAACCACTGACCTGCTGAACACAGTCAGCTAAAGTGGCCTGCAGTACTGCACTCTTGAGGCAAATACTTCTATTAGCCAGTATCTAATATCAATATTGGTATGAAGTCCTCTTATTCCTTATCCCTTGGTCTATCTGCATCACTCTGATGGGAGAGGTTATTTTTTATCAATTCCCTTTGCTGGCAGATCTCATAGCCATGATGCAATGCATCATTCTTTTTCAGAATCATATTACTAGGACTACTAGCTGAATAGAGAACTGATTTAGAGAACTGACTACCTCAATAGGCATAGTGAAGTGATTGATTCAAGTGTTAGATTAGAAAAGCAGGTGGGAAAGACCTGCAAAAAAACTGAAAAAATGGGGGGGAACCAGGATTTTTTCCATTTTTTTCTAAACGGCTTTTCACAGTTTTCACAGTTTTTTTCCAGGCCTTCCCATCTTTAGTCCAATATTGTATATCACCAACTAGCTGCTTTTCACTTTGTGCTAAGGACAATCTGTGACAGAGATTGTAGCAAAACTAGCATGTATTCATTTGTTTACTTGTTTTCTATTACAGTTTGTTTTACTTTTTTAAAGTAAAATTGCTTCCCAAATTCTATAGAAAAATAGTGTCATTTCTGCAAACACTGACAATCTTTACACTTTGAGTAATATATTTAGAAAGAAGCACTGAAGTTTGTCACATGGATATATTCCACTTCATTTATAAAGATTAATATATAGTACCATGTTGCCCCATATCTATTACTAAACTATGTTTAAAATAAAAACTTGGCAGGATGATATCTCCATAACCATCTTTCCTGGATCAAAAGTGTACTTTGGGATGGTTTGATAATAATGACATGGCATAGTAGAATTCAGAGATGCAAAATTTTTTCTGCTGCTTCTTGGAAACCCAAATTCCATTATCCATTGCCTGGTGCAAAATATATAGCCTAAAATTAAAGAGTTCAGAGTCCAGAAATTCCAAATCCCAAACTAAAACCTGTTCATATTCTTTCCCCAATCTGGTTTCCCACTAAGAATCAAACTGAAAATCAAAGAACCTTGTCCATTTACTGCAATATACCAGAAGACCCAGTTAGATCTACCTTCTGATTATACTTTTTCTAAGAAAATTCCCTTTCCAGATTCATCTAGAGATAATTTATAAAATCTAGATGAGTTTTACCTTGTATAGATCAATGCTGCAAATATTCTTGCTTTTGACATCAGCAAGGAAAAGTAACAACATCATGTGGTGTTATAGAATGGCGTATTTCCTAGGGACAATGTTAGAAGAACGTGCCCCTGTGATAGGCAGTGTCCTTGAGGGACACTTTGCTCTTCTCCAGAACAAAAATGCTAGGAAAAACAAAGAGCTTCCTATCATAACTGATTCCAGTTAGAAACCTGAGCCATGGTTGCTACAGCAACTTCAAAAGTGCAATATATTCAGTGCTTATTATGCAAATGCTGAAATACAATCTAAAATATTTTTATATTGTAACTAGGTTACAATATTCCACAAAATATTCCACATTCCACAAAATGTGATATTGATGTAATGAACTGAACCCCAAAGGGCAATAAGAACAAATTGGTGAACTAGTTAGCCAACCTTGCTTAATTGTTTCCCAGGCAATCTTTCTTCCTCTCATTCCCCAATATCACCCACCATCCCATTACACTCAGGATTCATTTGTTGTCTATTTTTTCATAATGTTTTTTTTAATTCCTTCTTCAAAATTATCTGTTTGCTTCGCTGGGATGCTTCAATAAAAATGCTTTGATCAAATCATCCATTAAAGCAGGTTCATAAAGTAGCTTGGCATTTTGATTTATTTGGAGTGGGGCAGCCATGCTTCTGCTTTGATAGCTTCACTTTGCCATTTGCTGAGAAGTGAAGCAGCCAGCTGAGACAGATCAGCCCCTTCTCAAAGCTTCATGAGGTGGAGTTCATGACCTACGAGGTGTGGCTTTGAGTGTCAAGACCAATGAGGTCAACTCCAGGTCAAAGAAAAGCCCCAAGAAAGGTCATTCCTGCTTTGCTCATATCTGATAATAATGTGTTAGCCTTGTTTTCTTATAATGGAAAAAACTAATTCCTGATATACGAGAATGCCCAATCTGTGGTGAAGAAACACAGATGTAGTGATTTAGTTTCTCTGAATATGAATATTTCCTTCTCTCGGTGTGGTCAGCGAACCCATTCTTCTTTCCTATTTGTCCCTTTGCTTTGTTATATGGAACAGTTTTACAGATTTAGACATAAATATCAAAATAAAAATGTGACCTTGGTTATATGCAGCTTTTCTCTTCTGTTCTCTAAGAATGCTGTTTATCATTCTTTCAAAAAAGTTAGCTCTCCATTTCAGGATGGTGAAGAACATTTCACCAGCTTGCCTTCTGTCAAATGTTTTGCCACAAGCTATATCAGGGGTCTCCAAACTTGGCAACCTGAAGACTTGTGGACTTCAACTCCCAGTATTCCTCAGCCAGCCATGCTGGCTGAGGAATTCCAGGAGTTGAAGTCCACAAGTCTTCAAGTTGCCAAGTTTGGAGATCCCTGGTCTATATATTCTCTTCAAAACTATTTACTTATAAAGCTTACATGGCAAAGGGCCTGGTTGCTTGAGGGATCACCAGTCTCCCATAACATCTACCCAGTCAGTTCAATCTGGCAGGGTTGGCATGCTCCAGGTTTCTTCAATGAAGCAAATGCCATCTATCAGGACTCCAGATGAGAACCTTCTCTGTAGCAGCACCTATCCTGTGGGCAAGGTTTCTCCCAAGATTCAAATGCCCCCCCCCAACTGGAATTTCTAAAGGCCCTAAAGACCCTAAAGATTCTTTGCCCAGGCCATCCTTTCTGTTTTCCTTTGGGTTTTTTCTTTGCTATTGTTGTCCTTTTCGATTATGCTGTTTTTGGACTACATTTTTAATTGTTTTTAGCTATTGTAAACTACCTAGAGTTACTGGGAGTCAGGCAGCACATAGATGATTATTACATGTAATCCTCACTTAACAATGGTAATTGGGACCAGAATTTCTGTTGCTAAGCAATGCAATTGTAAAAGACATCATGTGACTGTGCCACTTAGTGATGGCAGATCTGTCTGTCCCCAGTTACCATTATTCAGCAAGGACCGTGTTTAAGCAAGTATCTCACATGATTGTGAGTTCTGATTTTATGTTGGCTTCCCCATTGATTTTACTTGTGGGAATCCGGCATGGGATGTTGCCACAGTTAGAAATTCAAGTCAGTTGCTAAGCAACCTGACTGCAGTCATGCGATCGTCAAGTTGCTGTGACAAACAGGACTTTGAGGACCAGTTATAAGTACCACTCATTCAATGCTGTTCCTGAGCCTGTGGTTGCTGAATCTGTATTTGTAAAACTATCTCCTCTGTATTATGATAGCCACTAAACTTCAGTTCTATCAAGCAATACAATGAAAAATATTGAAACCTCTGAAAGTCATCTGAAATAGCACAAAGCTAAATTTCTAGTATTTAGGTTTAGAAATATGAATGTTTTAAGATTACAATCCCTACAATTTAAAATAAGTATTGTCAACAGGTACAAAAATTATGTCTGTATTAAAATTAATATATTTAATCTCCCCAATGTCATTGAACTCTTGTTTTTTTCTGTTGTTCATCTAACAAGTTCAGTGGTACAGTACCAAATGGGGTTTTATTGTCTTGAATAGTCAGCACTGAAAAGCTTTTGTCTCCTCCTTCAGTATGGAAAGAAGAAGCTGAAATACTTCCCTTATAACCATCAACATGAATACTTCTTTTTGGGTAAGTATAGTTCTTTATAGAGAAGGCAGAGCTGATGTTTATTTCCTGCTTATTTTTCTATAAGCTGTCCAAAACACAGTTATTACAATCAATTCACTGATGTTTTCCCCTATATGTTAAAACTGGTTTGTAAGTTAAAAGCCCTATGTCTTTCTAAACTTTCTGGGAAGTGAATATATTTGAAAGTGCCAGAGAATCCCCAGTCCTGGGAATTGGCTAACTTCAAGATTACAAAATGGCCATCATGACAAGCACAAATTGCTGCTAGGCGTGAGCAATGCATCTTGAATTTAAAATGTTTCACAGTCACAATGGAAGAGTGTGTTGTTCTGACCGTAGTCAAATGTTGAAAGATGCCCAACTTTGGAGCACTTCCAGAATAATTGGAACAGCATTGAAACATTTCCTGTAAAGTCAGGAAGCTGTTTCTGATTTGGATGGAGCATTTGGAACTAGAAACAGTATTTTAAGTAAACATTTTAAAATTGAAGCCTTTTGCAAAGTACAGTGAAACACCTAATGAGCACCCTCACAATTCCCTCAGCCACATGACATTTTCCATATTAACTTTATCTTATCCCAGTGTCTTCTTAAATATACATTTGGTGGACACAGGTGAATACATTTCCAGACCATTGCAGGACTGCACCACCTACTATGTTTATTATTTAAGGAGAGCTGAAGTACCTGTGCCATGCTCTCTTGTAAATAGTTGATGCTAGAGATTCATGTTGCTTTCAGCATTTTCATTTCCTTTTTATCAATTAAATGTTTTAAAAATTAAAGAAATGGGCCAGGAGCCATGTGGGCAACAGGGGAGATGTCTCTGGGCACACTGATTCCCAGGGTATCATGTTGGAAACACAAGTCCTGATTATTTTAATAGCTTAAAATATTGGGCTGAACACAAACCCAAAACAGCATTTCTCATCATTTACTATGAGAGAGAAAGAGAGAGAGAGAGGGAGGGAGGGGGGGAGAGAGAGAGAGAGATTCACTTTCACCATTCTATGCTTTGTGTTGCCAACTTCCCATAATGCATTTTGTTTTGTTCACAGTTTTTCCACCTCTCCTTATTCCAGTCTATTTTCAAATGCAAATCTTCACAACAATGTTCAAACACAAGTTCTGGGTGGTAAGTGAAAAATCCTACATGCCCTTTATTGCTTTCATTTCACTGCATGAAATGAAATTTCATCTGAAGAAGATCTCAGCTGAGGGGGTGAAGCAAGGTTTCTATGCTGATTCTTTGGAAAAGAAATAATTGTTGGCCTAGAGATAAAAGACATATAGCATTTGCCATGTATAACATTTTCCTTGTCTCCTAGGACTTGGCATGGGCTTTCAGCTACTATGTACGCTACTTTATCACCTACATCCCATTTTATGGATTACTTGGGTCCTTGCTTCTCCTCACCTTTGTCAGGTAGGGTTATCTACTAAAACATTTAAAAGATATTTTTGGTGGTTTATAACACTCTGAGAAGTTCAAGACCAAATTAGTTGTAGACTCATCGATTTCCATACAAATCTGCCCAATGTTTGTGTGAAAGAAGACAACATTGTGACTGACTGATACAGTGATGCTAATTGGGACAGGGAACACTGTTGCTAAGCAATGGGGTTGTAAAGTTTGACTTCATGTGACCATTCTGACTTATGATGGCAGTTGTAGCAGTCCCAGTTAACATTGTTAGGTGAATCCTGTGTGGCTGCAGCATCTCATGAATATGTGGTTGCCATTTGCAAATCTCCTGCCAGCTTCCTCTTTGACTTTGCTTGTTGGAAGCTGGCAATAAAGATTGTAAATGGCAAGGATGCTGCAATGTTGTAATTATGAGCCAATTGCCAAGCACCTGAATTATGATGGTGTGACTGTGGAGATGCTGCAATGGCAGCAACTATAAGGACCTGTTTTCAGTTCCCTTGTTCAGTGTTGTCATAACTTTGGTTGTTGAATGAGTGGTTGTTCAACGAGGACTACCTATGCTTGTTTCTGCTATAGATAGGTATTATCTGCACTAGCAGCACCTTGGAATTTCCCCTCCTAGGACTTTTCTTGATTTTATCAATTGTTCTAATATTTACTTATTTATCATTGATTGATTGATTTGATTTGTGTGGCTGCTCATCCTATAGCAACTCTAGACAGCCAACAATGTATTAAAACTAGATCCACAATAACATCAAACAGTATTAATATTGAGAATCGCTTTGCAGAGTGAGATGAGTGGCATATAAATTTAATAAATAAATAATCTAGAAAGACAGCGGAGGTAAAAGCCAATCTACAATGAACTCGGGAACCACAACTCCGCTGGCTTCAACTTACCTCTTGGCCTCCAAAACACATTCGTGACTTCAACATTTTCCAGAAGCCTGGAAGAGTTGAATTCAACCATATCTTGACAGGTAAGGTATTCCAAAAGTTAGGTCATAGAGCAGAAAAATCCTGTAAGATGACAATAATCAATGCTGCTGAACAGATGGATGGAAATAGGTTCCCACAAATAATCCTTTCCCACTGTTAATTGGATTCTAAAAACCTGTTTTTCCTTCCAGGACTTGAGTTAGATGTTTCAGGGGAGGGGCTGAGGTTGAACTGAAGGATGATGTAAATATATATTGTAATGTATTGTTCCCTCAGATGATTGCTGTGCTATTATATAGTGTGTATGTATGTGTGTGTCTATATAGCTATATCTATGCTTGACTCTTTTCTTTTCTTTTGATCTTGTGAAGCCACCCAGAGTAATTTTGAAGGCAAATAACATATTAGATGGCAAAGATGGCAAATAACATATTAGAGAACAACTGTATGCCTACAAAATATGGCAAGTTCAAGACTGTTCAGACATGAATTTTGGCCTGTTATTAAATTACTGGACATAAACCTAATCTTTGACCATTTTGTTGTCCATAAGTTCTCTAGATTATAGCTTTCAGGCTCTTGAGCTCAATCCTCTCTCTCTCTTTCTTGCTCTTCAGATTTATGGAAAGCCATTGGTTTGTTTGGGTTACTCAGATGAATCATATTCCAATGGAAATTGACAATGAGAAGCACAGAGACTGGCTCAGCTCCCAGGTAAACGTTGTTTACTGAAATCTCATCCCTATCTAGGAATAAGTGTCACCGAGTCCAAAGGAGTTTCTGAGCAACCATGCTTGGTATACTCTGGTAGAGTATGGAAACGTGTCATACTGACTTTATCTCAGTTTGATGAAACTAAGAAAATGTTCCTCCATGCTCCACACTTCTTGCAAAACAGACCATACTGGGTTAAGGATTTAATTTAGCTAAATCCTTAGTCACCATTTGATATTGAAAATATCCATTTAGTCTGGCATCTTGAGACAAAGGAACAATGGCTGACCTATTTTTCTAAAAACATGAAGCTGACTATAATTCAGATTTACACCAAAGGGCTTGCCACTGCTCTGTTCCAAAGGTTCTTTGAAACATATTATTTCTTAATTTCCTGCCTCTTGCATTACCTCACTATTTTGAAGAATTCAAAAGATTACTATTTTAGTCTGCAATCAGAGTAATCAATTGCAGCATGCGCACAGTACTGGAATGGCAGACTTTACCAAAAAGAATAAACTAATGAATTTGAACTTAATCTCTTTTCAAATTCAGGTTTATTGGGATTCACGATTACTTTTCTTTCACAGTTGGCAGCTACCTGCAATATTGAGCAGTCTTTTTTCAATGACTGGTTCAGTGGACATTTGAACTTTCAAATAGAGCACCAGTAAGTATACAATGTTTGGATCTGAAGGAACGTTGGCAGTGAAAATACATACGCAAGATGTAATTGTCAGCTTGGAGAAATTAGAAGAAAAAAAATATTGGCTAGCAGCAACCACCATAGAATTTCAATACAGTACACACATATTTATTATTATTTAATATTTATTAAATTTATATGGTATGAGCATATGTAATAATTATATATTAATGTAATAATATATATTAATGTAATTAATAATAATTATTAAATGTATATGCCACCCAGAGTCACTTTGCAGAGATGGGTAGCTTAATAAATAAAAAAATGCAATGTACATAAAGCTATTGTACACCATTCCAGTGGTCTGCCATATAAAACATCCAAATATTCCATCTATTTAGAAATGGAAAGGCCAACTGCCCATCAAACAACATGGAGTTTTAAAACCCATCTTTCCAAAGCTTTAAACTATTGCTGTCTTCTGGAAAAAAATTTTAAAATAACTAGATTATGAAATCTTTCCTCTCAGTTTTAGTTTAAAGTACATATACGTAAATAATACAAGTATATAAGATGATCTAGATATATGGAGACAAAGAGAGAGAGAGAGAATGCAAAAGATGTTGGACTTCACCCAAGCTCACCGCAGTGCCTCAAAGTGATGTACTTGTATCTTAGATGCTGAAGTAATACAGTCCATCATATCACTTCTGGATTCAGCTGTCTCATCTGACTGTTGAACTGACTAGGTTCTATTTATTTCCATAAGTGAAAGCTAGTGCATGGCATGTCCTGCAGAACTGCTGCTCCTGAGCTTTCTTCATGCCTTCTTCTTCTGTTTTATTTGAGCTTGTTTCCTACAATGCCACGCCACAACTACCACAAGATAGCACCATTGGTAAAGTCCCTGTGTGCCAAGTATGAAGTTCCTTATGAAGAAAAACCTCTTCTGAGAGCATTTGGAGATATCGTAGGGTAAGAGACTAAATAGGGATTGTCAGTCTATTTATCTTTTGGTGAGTATAGAGATGCCAGCACAAGTTCATAAAGCCAGCCAGCCATCTTTATATGCTTTGTATGCTATCTTTATATGGGTTCTACTTACAGAAATGCAGTTTAGAGTAATGTTTAATCTGTATGTGGATAGCTCTGGGGATGCTCTGTATTTGTTACAAGTGTTTGCTATGAATTCAAGTGGGAGAAAGTGGCTTACACAATCAGACTTCTGTTATACTATTGGAATCTCACCCCTCTCTTCTTACTCTTTAGATCCCTAAAGAAATCTGGAGCGCTGTGGTTGGATGCTTACCTCCATAAATGAAGCTGGATTTCGGTGAAGAGAATGACTTAGCAAAGGGGAGGGCTGGGGAAAGGGGTAATATGTATTCTTCTTGTCTGATTTCAGTCTGTATGAGTACACACATTTGGAAAGAAGTTTCCTGTACTGTATTGTCAAACTGAAGTTGAGGCAGATTGAGGGAACCTATTTCAAATCAGAAGGAATTTCAGATGTGTCAGATACTGAAAAAAAGAAAAGATTCAACACAGGATAGCTCAGAAGGTTGAGACCTTTTAAAGAGAACTGATAAAGGTGTGAAAGAAGGAGCAAGTTGATTTTTGTATCTTCTCCTAAGTCTTGTTGTTATAGTTCCAGCTGTCTCTTATCCCAGGGTTTTCAAACTTCTTCAGGACCTGGAACCTTCAGTTGGAAAAAAACATCAGAACCCAATTAAAATTAAGCAAAGCATAAATACAAATATCCCTCCCCAACGGGGTTGGAGTTTTTGAATGTCAGCCAAACAACTCCATCCCTTTCCACTGTACTATGGAAAATTGCTGCAGACAACCCTGGCTGTGTTTAAGTGGACCTTTTTCTTGCTCTTAGCCTCTCATGAAACCCCAGGGTTCTATAAACACAGTTTGAAAAAAACCTGACAGAGATGGTTGGGTCACATGCAGTCCAGCTATCTATTTGATCCACATTAAATACAGGAGTGTTAGCTAGTTCTTTCAAAGAATAAACTGTAAACAAATCTGGGGACTTATTCTCCTTAATAATTGTCACACAAGGGAGGAGGAAAGGGTGAGGTATGTTTAATTCAGAGAATAATATCTAAATTGTCAGGTGAAAATGCTTACATTCTAATGTTTTTAAGAAATCAAATAAGAAAGTATTGTTTCTTACCAAATGGAGCTTTTCTTCTCCAGTTCCAAAACACACACACATTCACACACACATATACATGCAGTGGTGGGATTCAGCCAGTTCACACAACTTCAGCAGAACCGGTAGCTAATTTTTTTGTTGCCCAGGCTTCCGGAAGCAGCATCCACACAGAGAACCAATTGCTGGGGATTTGCATATAACTATATGCATATGTTTCTTGAATTTTCCCTACCTCTTCTTTCATACTGTTTGAAGAAACTGTAATGTGCTTCATTTACACTGAGCTTCCTGGCGGTCAGTTCCAATTCTCTCTTCAATGAGCATTACAAATGCCTGTTTACACTAGATCAACCAGCTTAAACCAACTTTGGGCTATGTGTGTATCCCTAACTAGATTCCTAATTAGATAAGAGATACTGTATGCATATGAATGTGTATGCATGGTTCACCAACTATTGCTGTAGATCAGGAGTCTTCAAACTTGGCCCTTTTATGACTTGTGGACTTCAATTCCCAGAATTCCTCAGCCAGGCATGCTGGCTGAAGAATTCTGGGAATTGAAGTCCACAAGTCATAAAAGGGCCAAGTTTGAAGACCCCCTGCTGTAGACAGACAGCTGCACTTACAGAATGGATTTTAAAATGAGCAAACAGGAAAGCCTATTTATCATTCTCCATGCCTAAACAGCTGATTAGTAATAATGATGGACTGTACATTTACATTTTTACACTGGACCAGCAAGTTTGTGTTCTGCATCATTGCTCGGTTCAGTCACAATTTCTATAACAACTGACATAAAACAGAATCGTGCTTGCTTTAAACAGAAACTTTGTAAAGATTTGCTTCAGGTCCCATGCATGGTAATTCTTAATTGCTACTGTATATAAAATTGCAATCAAAATCACTCTCATTTTTTCCTCCTGTTAATCAATCTCATCTATCTTACAATATCTAATTAATTGGGGAATAGATTTTTTTAAGAAACCTTTTACAGTCCATGACCAAAGTTTTAAAAGGACCAATAGTAGACAAACTTTGTGATAGATAGATATTGCCTTAAATCTGAGCCCAGCCACCTGGCCTGTTTTCTAAAATCAAAATAATACAACCTCTCTCGAGTTTTATTCCTAATGTGGAATTCCAGAGGCTTTTTAAGAATTACTTTAATCACTTACAATTCATGACAACAGCTTGTCTTTTTATACAGTATATTGAGAGGACACTTTCCTTTTTTTCCTTATGATCTTATAGATAATTTCCTCTATTTGTTTTGCTAATTAAAAGTGTCCATATATGAATTTTTTTAAAAAATCCCAAAACAAGACAATCTCCCCCATTGCTATATCACATCAGATGTTCAATTTCTGGAAGCAATTCAGCTGCAACTGATGTGTTTGAGGCCGTTTTCTCTCATTTATTTCTTATCCTTGCTGAGAATTGTGATTCTCTCAGTACAGGTAATCCCTACTTGTAGAGGATAAAAAAAGTACTCTGAATGATTACAAATAGAGCTTGTGACAGTAAACTAAAAAAAAAAAATCTCCTTTTAAGTTTTCCAAAAGTGAAAACTAATAATTTAATTACATAGGTCTTTACCATATGTAAAATTGTCCCAGATCTGCTGGCTTAGAGTCTTAAACAGTTTAGGTAATTTGATCAGCTCTGAAGCTCATTTTATGTCTATACTGGAAACAGTTGCTTTGGCTAATATATGATATAGGTTTCTTGTGAGTAAAACATTGAGCATAATTATCTACCTACATATTCCACACTGAGCTTCTGGAAAGAAGTTGTTTTAAGAAATTAGTATGTCCATGTAAATGTATTCCCCAGCTAGAGACATTGTGATGGGCAAGGCCATTCAAGGATTTCAATATTATAAATCAAGTGCTCTAAATATATGTATGCTATTAGCAAAGAAATCCAACTGGATGATGAGCAAAAAGGCATCTAGTTTCTTACAACTAATGAAATTTTGGACTAGCTCTCTCCTTCCCAATAATTTCATTGAAGGTTGTATTATACAGATAAAACTAATACAACTACATAGTACAGAAAGATATTTTAAAAATTTAAGAAGTGCTGAAAAGGGGAAATAAAAGGAACAAAAACAATAAAAGAAAAAAAACCTCTCCCTTTATCCACAGCAAGCATACTCAACAACTTATCACTAATATAAACAAACACCTCTTCCACTCCACACCTCACCCTATTCTCTATAAGACTGTCTCTAAAACATCCATGTTAATCAGCAAAACCCAGTAAGCATTATCAGAAATAAGTCTTATAACCTTTATCTATTATACCCAGTTTGAACCTTTTTGTATTTATATTTAGTTATATTTAAAAGATCCCCCCATTTCCTCTATTCAGAGTCTAGTCCCAGTCAAAAACAATTAAATGTTACCAGAAATAACCATCATCATCCTATCCCAATCAGAAAACCATTTAACCCCACCAGAAAGAGCAATTCATTATTTTAACCTTGATCTAATAAATTGATTTGTATTCAGTATTCTTTCCCCCAAGGATCTTTGAATTCATCAAAGAAAGTTCTAACATCTGCTTTCTCATACTTTTTTTTTCTCTTTTCTTGCAAAATTCTTGTCATTTTTGTCAGGCCACTTTTGCAATTCTAGTGTGACAACTCCAGCAAACGTCTTTTATAAATCCAATATAAGAAAATTATCCACATCCCTCTTCTGATTCATTATTTGTACATCTTTTAATATTTTAAAAATCTTCATTCAATTTCAGTTTGTAAATCTATTATTTCCATCTCTTTCTTATAGGCTATAATTTTTTAAATCATCGGTAAGTCAATTTCAGTTTTATTCAATGGGATTTATTCAATAACACCTTCTGATTTTATTATAGCAGAAATCTCCAACCTTTCTGGCTCCACAGAGCAGCAGCAGTGGCAGTGGGGGGGGAGGGGATGGTTTTGTGTGCGTAACCTAATCCTGCACAGGCGCAAATGAAACTTTGTGCGCTTGCCCGCCACTTGTGCTGCATGTTCCCAATAGACCCCAGACCAGTACCAGCCCATGGCCCAGAGGTTGGAGAATCCTGTATTATAAACATCAATAACTCAAAGACTTCCTTCACCCCTTCATCAAACATTTATTTTAAGGTAGCCATTAGGTGCCCTCTAGTGTTGAACTTTCAAAGTCATCTTATCCGTTTCAAAGTATAAACAAGAGCATTTTCCCATGAAAGAGGATCCTTTCAATTAGATTCAGTCTTAAATCAAGTCAACTTCATCCCTTGAGCCATTTAAATTTTTCTAAACCCAGCAGTAATTATTATGTTGCTGTATAATAAAAATGTTACAAATCTTAAACTTGAGGTTAAACTTTTTTAAAAAAGAATTGAGGGAAGCTCACTTGTAATTTCAATAAAATTTGCCAGACTGAAAGTTCTCAATCTTTTTAAAAAAATGGCCAAATGGGAGAAAAATTAAATACAAAGTGATTAAGAGATGAACCTCAGTCCAATATATGGTCCATATAGACAATATTAGTGCTCTAAGCACAAAGAAATCTCACGACTTACAATTCATAATGAGTTGATCACAAAAAATATGCATTTCCTGCTGTCTGCTCACAAAAACAGCTGTGTGGGGTACATGGCAGTAATATGGCAATCTCTCTTTACTTTGGAGAGATGTTGGCAGCACAAAAGCATTTGGATGCCATTTTTAGCCACAACATGTTTCTCTAACATCAGTTTGCCATGATGGTTCACTGGAAGCTTGAAAGTTTGGGTTAACTCTCAAAGAATACATCTCAAATTGTAGTCAAAATTGTTCCTAATGTCTCTTCATTGCTTCTTGATTATTGGCAAGCAATGGAATTCCTACTTGCCACCCTGCATATAACTACCACAATAGTGGTTTTAACCTTAATTACTGACGAGACTTTTTATTATGAATCTGAGAATCTCTGGTTCCAGAATTAGCAGAAACAGTCCATATTTTGTAGCCTTTTTAGAATATAATATAGGGAGTGAGTAAACATTAAATTACGGATAACACAATACTTTGCCTTAATCCAGACTTTTCCTATCTGATGTCCTTCAGAAGTTTGGAGCCAGAGCCTTTGGCTTTCCTAGATTGGAAATGGGAGTTGAAGTTTTGGAGGGTAGCAGAGAAAGACTGTCTTAATCTCTCAGGGCATGACCCAGCCAAAGTTAAATGTGAGCAATTTAAGCACATAATTTAGCATTGACTCATATAAGTGTTGGCATTTGGCTTAGTCATGCCTGCCTAGTTCCATGAATGTACTTCATTTTCTTTGTTTCTACAGGAATGAGCACAAAAATAAAGGTCCTGTAGCATCTCTTATGCAGTCTTCCAATTGGACAGCTCACTTAATCTGAAGGCTTCTGATTTCTTTGTTGTTCTCTCGACCTTTTGTTCAAGAACAATTCATTTCTATCAGAACTTGCAGGAATTTCCTACAGTTTTGTTCCACTCCAGCCACCTTGCATTGCCTGGCTATTTTCTATTTGTTTAACTCAAGAGGAGCCCCAGAATGTTAGGATTTCAGCTTTCTCGATTCAATGGCTTTATTCTTACCAGGTTATTAATTTTTTAAAAACATATCTATAAAAAACCCTGCACTGCCAGCAGTTTTGGGGAAAGGCAGCTGCATCTAATGATAGCACCTCTAGGTAAGAATCATTTTTAAAATAAACAGCAATGTTGCTGGGACAATCCACAAAAGAAGGGGCCAATACACAGTTGTACATAACAATTTTTGCAAATATAACAGCCCCACTAGAATAAGATAGGCAGAGGAAAGGAAATGGTGTGATAGTTACTTTTCCTTCCTTAACTAAAAACTCAATGGTTGCTTAAATTTTCTTGTTTGTGAAAAAACATTGAAAATAAATGGTAGAAATAAATTGAAATAAAATGGTAGCTTTTGCATTCAGAGGAGAAGTCTGTTTCATTGTACATGTTCTTGGAGATTAAAATACTTGGTAATCACATGCACACATTAATGGGTACATCTACATGTCAATCCATGTAGATTATTATTAGCTTTAATATTGGATCTTGTGTTCAGGTTTCAATTTTCTGACAATTTTTTCTCTCACACTAATCTGAATCAATAGATTCCAAAGGAGTGTGTGTTTTCTCTGGATCAGTGGAGCCTTATAAAATATCGCACTAAGCAAGAACAAGCCATGCAAAATATTTGTTCCACTCTACATTGCCCTGATCAGATTCTACTTGGAATACTTAGTTCTGTGTTCCATAGTTCAGAAAGGACATTGACTAACTTCAGAGGAGGGTTACCAAAAGGGTGAGGGATCTGGAAACCAAGCCTTATGAAGATCAATTAAAGCTTCTACATTTGTTTAGCCTACAGTTCAATTGACTGAGGGAAGATATTTGATTCTTCAAATATCTGAAGATTATCCACAAAATGAGTGGACTTATTTTTTATTGTCCCAGAAGATAGGGCCAAAATTAACAGGTTAAAATTATGAAATAGGCAAGATTGATTGTATAAGCTTTCAGCCAAAGGAAAGCTGCCACATAATATAGTGAGGTCTTCAATGGAAATCTTCAAACTGAGGCTGGATTGTCATCCCTCAGAAATACTCTACCTGATCCTGCTTTGAACAGGGAATTGAACTAAGTCTCTTCCAGTTCTATAATTCTAAACTGGTGAAGTATATTTGCTTATTTGACCAAATGGATGCTTGGATGATGAAATAGAGTTATATAGAAATATATCCTCAAATTTTACATTAAATTTCTTCTCCAACTAAATTATTTTAGGAAGTTGTTTAAGTGTTGGACCATTGTATAAGCAATGAAGGAAGATGAAACTGTTACCTAGGTGGATTGATATATATAGACAATACTAAGTTTGTTCAGCTGAATTGGTTGCTTGTTTAAGCTTAGTCTATTCAGTAAACCTGAGAGGTAATTATATGAAGAAGTATGACTGAAGAATTTGATTGATTGGTTGATTGATTGATTGATTTGCTTATTTATTGTGTGTCACTCATCTCATTTAGAAGTGACTTAGAATTACACTTCAATGAACATATTTTATGCTGCTGTTCTACAGCCATTTTCATATTCTTGGTTCACCCAAAAGATCTGATATCAGAAACTGGAAAATATATTTAGTTGTTTTTTTAAGATATCAGTAATTTTACTGTTGCTTGAGGCAGGACTATACATTATCTGAGTTTGAATAATTCCCTCAAGACAATAGAATAATGTAGCAGCATTGTAAATATTAATATTCAAATTAAAGCATATCTGACAGCTTCTGCTTGAACACATTTACAAACAGGAGCCAACCTGCTCATTAGATAATCTGTTTTAACATCAGCCTGCTTTTGCAGTTAGTATTTTCCCCCCACATATTCAACCAGAGTCTATCTTCTTGTAACTTAAATGCCTTTTTTTGTTGCCTGCACTCTAGAATAATAAAGCAGAGGACATGATCTTTTGGTATTTTGTACTGACATATCTCCTTTTAGCTTCCTCACAATGAAATCTATCTATTTTTCTCAGCCTTTCCTTGTAGGACCTAGTGTCCATCTTTGTTACCCTACCTGAACCCATTTTTATTTATCTGCATCCTTAAAGTGTGGTGCACAGAACTGCACACAATACTCAAGATGGGGTTGCCCAATGCAGGAGAGAACAGATACTTCACATGACATGTGACCAGTGTTGTAGTAGTAGTAGTAGTAGTAGTAGTATTGATTTGCCTCTGAATAGAATTTATTTTAGATGCCATTATAGTTAAAGCATATTTGCCTCCAAGGATAGTAACAGCTATATTGAATTTTGTTTTCTGCTTTTGTTAGGATAAGAAGAGCTTTTTTAAGTTTCTTGGTTGATAAAAGAAGAAAAAGCAATTAGAAATAATGAGGGTGTTTTTTTTCCTGATGAGGTGAAGTAGAGTAATTCCTAATTGACATTTTCAACCAAGATGAACCTTTAAGCAGATTAAATTAGAGGAATAATCTCATTGTGGCAAGGAATACTAAGATAGAAAGGCTGTTGCTGAGCTGTATCATCACAGTCTTTACATGGATGAAATGCACATATTTTATTAAAATTGCAAATACAATAACAGATGAAAATTCTACAGATAATATTAACTCCATGGTTTAAGAATGGACAAGAAACAATTTAGAAATAATTTAGATGCTTTGCAATTTCATTCTTCGTTTGTAAGAGCAACATCAGCTTTCCTGTGACAAAGGTCTAGTGTTTGGTATGGCATAATAGTGCCCAGGGAACATCTATCTAGTAAGTAGCCTAATAAACTGACAGCTTAAATAAATGGAATTCAGTTTTCTGTTTCTCAGAAAAACCAATCAAGTAATTTTATTTATTCAATGACACACTTGTATATGACTCTTTGTGACTCTATCAAGAGTCACTAGGATGGTGGACTTAGCTACTAGATAATTTCCCATCTGCTGGCTATATTCTGGTATCATAACCTTTTGCTTGTATGAATAGAGGTATTTGTCTCTCCAAAGAAGCTTTCACTTATTTTTTGTGTTTTATAAAACTAAAGAGAGTGATGAGGAAAGAGAGAAAAGAAAGACCTGCCTGGCAACATTTAAGCAGAAGGTTGAAATTATCTTTTTTTCAACTACAGTCTCAGCAGTGATTCCTGAATATGTAGTGAAACCAAGTGTCTTATTCGTCTCTCTCAAGCCACCTCACAGGGTTGTTGTTATGGGGAAAATAGGAGGAGGAAAATATTAGGTATGTTCGCCATCTTGAGTCACTTACAAACTAATACAGTTAGGATAACATCTAATAATAAATAAATAATCCATTTAATTAGACTTTGTCGAACAAATCTAAAAGGCACCAGGCTGAGGACTTATACAACCTATATTTTTATTATATCTTTTTTTAATTATAGTTTTGAGAATTTTAAGTATGGCAGCATTTCTGGGACCAAAAGAGCCATGCTGGATCAGTCCTACAGCCTTAAAATAATATACAGAAAAAACTTGGAACTCTAACATGCTTGCTATCAGAAGTTGATTAGGTGATTTAATTGCATTTGAAAAGATTATGCTAGATGTATGAAATAACTTGTTCTGATATGTGCAGGTATAGTGCAGCTCTCTGTAAGCTTCATGGGTATGTATTCAATGAAAGTTTTAAGTGACACATTGGAACTGAATAAGGTAATTCATCCTCAACATTAATCTTCCAGTCTGTACTGGCTCAAATCTTCCTCTCTCAATGCTGTTGAAGATATGAATAGATTCTAAAATAGGCAAGCTATGAAAAACAGGTCAGGCTATTCTTAGAGAGAGGTTTACATTAGGTTATAAAAAAGCATGGGGAAGCTAGAATAAACTTTAATATATGGTGAAACTGGGCTAGATCAAAAGGAGTATGACATAAGGGAATAGAGAAGAGAGAGCTGCTAAATTTCAGCCTGAATCAGATACTACCCTGGACCTCAGAAAATGCACATAAGAAAGGGATGGGCTTTCAGTGATGCGGTCATGGCTGTTGTCTTTTTTGCCCTTCATTCTATGACAGCACTTCCTACTGTTCCTAGCCAACAGTGACGATGCCTGAGAACTGTTGAAGTTGTAGCCCAATATACCTGCAGGTCAGCAATTTAATAACAACTGTCATCAGGGGCATCCATGGAGAATATTAAAAAGAAGTCAAGTGGGTGGGATGACTGAATGGTTGAAGCCCCACCCTTTCATCTGTGCATTGACATGGCAAGTATATAAAGTGGGGGGGGGGGCAGGCTTCAATTGTGAGGTCACACCTCCCTATATACATATACATATACACAAACACATTAACATACATATTACACAAGAGCATGAGACATTTCAGCTGATTCATGTGCTAGAGAAGATGTGCCAATTTTTTCTCTCAAAGGTGTGCATTATCTGCATTTGGAAAAGCTCTTCTTTGGAGACTGTTGGTGTATCTTATCTTATCCACATTTGTCTGTCTTTTCAAGGGAGATCGACCATGGGCTTTGAACTCTTATCTAGTTGTGTTGTGTAGTTGGAACAGCGAGGCATTGAAGACACTGAGTTGAAATAACAGCTCTTTATTCAGTTCTCACAGAAGCAAACTCTAGCACAGTGGTTCTCACCTGTGGGTCGGGACCCCATTTGGGGTCGAATGACCATTTCACGGGGGTCGCCAAACAACGCAGTCCACCATTTTTCCCCCTTTTCCTTAGCTGTGCTACTCCCTTTTATTCTATTGGCTTTTGAAAGCCAATAGAATAGACTCTCTTGAATAGAGTCTAATTCTATTGGCTTTCAAAAGCCAATAGGAATTGTCCAGGCTGTCTCTGCCCTGCTGAGCCCACCAAAAGTCCCATTCTGCAAACGGTGCTGCACCAGTTGAGTAGTCCTTGACTTACGACCGGTTGAGTAGTCCTCGACTTACGACCGGTTGGCATTAAAAAGGTTGAGAACCACTGCTCTAGCAGCTGCTTGACTTATATTTATACGGACCACCACTAGGCGGCGGTCAATCAATTTAAAGTACTCATTCCCGCCTAAAACAAAGGTTTAAAGTTATACAGACAGTCTATAATTCAAATAGAACAATCAGTTAACTGTTTTTATAACAGACCTTATGAATTGCTTAATACATAACAAGTTCCAGTTCACATATTGGATGTTCCTTTACTAGCAGATTCTGCTTCTTTCAAACATGTCTTCCTTCACACCTTTTGCCTGCTCTTGTAAATAATTAACCTTCCTTTAAGATTTTCAAGGAAGGTTCAGCCTCAGAAACAATTCTTGAAGTAAATCCTGCTGAATCTTACCCAGAGCAATCAATCAAATTATACATGAACTCAGCCCTTGATTTGATTTGTTCCCACTGTAATTCAATAATTATGTGAAATAGTTTATTTTTCATTATTTTATTATTAATTTTTCATCAAGAAATAAAATGCAGATGCTTTATGATGGGCTGAGGAAAATCAGCCTGTGATATGGAAATCTATTGTATGTTAAATTCTCCTTTCCCTTCCTTTGAGATTTCTCTTTGGATCAAGACTTTTCAAACTGCAATTTTTTTCCCATATCCATGCCTTTTCTACAAAGACTCAGCAACCCAAAGTATGGTTGAGCCATGAATTTAACCTTCATATCCCCTGGATTTGGAACTTTGCATCCTTTTTATTGAAGTATCCAGCATACATGAACACTTGTTGTAGCAGTTATTTCCCAGCTGCTCCTGAGCAAGAAAATGAAACTATCTGTTGATAATTGTTGTCCTTGAAATTAATATAACAAAGACTGACTCTTTTGCAATTTTGCTACATGGATCTTCAGATTAAGCATTTCAAGGTTCCCAATCACTGTCACTTTATTATTTTAATATCCTTTTCTAAGTAAAAAAAAAAAACCTTAATACCACTGAATGGACCATTTGTTTTTATAGTTTATTTATTTATTGTATTTCTATGGCTGCCCATCTCTCAAAGGTTAACCACTATTGCTAACTAGATCAAGATTTACTTCCCAGAGTTAGCAGCTACCTATAAAAGTGTTGCAGATGCTGCCACTACAATTATACCAGGAAGTCAGTCTTCTCAACTCAATTTAGGTGAGATGGGCAATACAGAAATGGAATGAATGAATGAATGAACTTAATTATCCTTTTGATATATTAGACTAGCTGCTTTAAACCCATCGGCTTGGGGATTATTAAGAGTTGTGGGATCCTTGGTGTTCTCTGATCTTGTTTTATTGCAGAAGTTTCATTACCCAACTACATAATTAGAGTTGAAGTTCAGTGCATTTAAGGGGCAACAGGAAGTGAAAGAATGCTCTAAATCAGGGGTGTCAAACTGCCAGCCCACAGGCCAGATGCATCATGGCAAAACTGTGCCCACCCCATTGCCGGCAACATTGCAACACGTCACGTGAAGTTGCAAGTTTGACATCTCTGCTCTAAATAGTAAGAAAAGCAATTTCAGGCTCTTCCAAAACTGCTAATTGCTCATCATAGTCTGCACTTTCTTTCATAATTACCAGAGCCCACTGATTATGTACAAGCAAGATTTTTTAAAAAAAAAAATAACACCAGGAGCTAAAATCCAATTAAAGCTAGGGAGGCAGATTCTTTCTAATCTATACAGTTTCATATGAGTTAATTCATCAGGCTGTGTGAAATCCCATGTCTACATTAGTTTTAAATATACAGCACATGAATAACTGAAGAAAACTAGGAAAATCAAATCTTCACCAGGGCAACGTATTGAACTAGGCAGCACATAGATGAATAACTATTTAATTTATTCACATTTCCTTATCACTAAGAGACCCATATAGCCCCAATCAACTGTCTAGCAGAGTGTGCATTTATGTTAATTTTTACCTTAAAATTTGCAATATTCCAAGGAGCATAAAATTGAAGGATGACAGACTATGCTCTGCAGAGCATATTAGTCAAGAGGTAGGAACAGCTACATTCAAATTCATATTGAAAACCTTTAATGGGCAAGTCGTTCAAAGATCTGTTTTCCTTGTTTTGGGGATTTGTGTTCTAGGAAGCAAAATTTTAGGCCTGAACAATATCAATCCAGGCCCAGTTCTAAAGAAAGTGCCTATCTGTATTTTGGGGTGTGTTCTGAATGACACATTTTCTGTCTCAAATCATTCTCTTTCCCCAAGCTCTTGTTTTACTTATCCAGATGGTCAATGTGTACTTACAAAGGGTGACACTTAAGTAATGCCACAGCAGAGTATCTGATGGGAAGAATTCTGAGCAGGCAGGCAGTTAATAGAAAAAGTAGTTAACCTGTACAGACTGTGCCTCTAACATTCTTCTGATCCAAAAGAAAGCCATATTTTATGCTAAAATAAAGCATATTGTCAAGGTATTGTTATGACATACCTGTGGGTACTGTTTCTATTTCACTCCTTGGTGGTCTGTCTTATTGTGAACTAACTAGGCAAGCCAGAAAGGATTGTTTTGGGCTCTGGAGCTAGGTGTCTTTGATGTCTTCCTTTGAACAGGACATGCATCCTTTCCATGGTTAATGTGTCATGCTTCAACTGATGGGTCACTGCTGCCTTTTAGGGTGAGGCTCATTTTGCATGCAATTTTGATTTTGTTATTTAAACACTACTAAAACTTCAACACTACTATATACACAATCAATACTGCTTGTAATGCCTTGTTTATTTTGTCACTGGAATACATGCAAGACTTCAAAAGAAATCAGTCCAATGGCAATAAGAACCAGCTTCATGTCAACACTGGAGTCTATTTATTAAATAGAAATCAGCATATGTTATTAGAATAGGAACACAGAAGTAACAAAGAGATAATAATGCAACCAGGAGAAAAGATACAAAGCTGCCTGTAATATATATTGTTTTTTTTCTTTTCAGGCAACCAATTCTTGTAATTTGGGAAAACTGGCAGCTAGTCAAGCCATCTTGATCTAATCATTTCCTTCATCTCTTATAGGACCAGATATTGATAAGTATATAATGACAGTACAAAACCTATAGCCAGCATGAAAAAAACTGGAGGTCTTTGCAGTGAATTTGGCATGATAAATACTTTTTGCAAATGAAATTTCAGAGGATACCTTTCTTCACAACAGTTCATTATGTACTCAAAACAATGCTAAATCCCCTTTCAATAAACAAACTGGACTTTCTCATAAGGCAGTCACCATCTCTACAAGGAACCCTTCAGTTGTCCTCCACCACCATTAATCATTTGCTTCCTTACCACAGTGCCTTAGTGTACCCTCCACCATTGTGCTGTCTTCCAGATGAGCTGGACTAGAGTTCTAAGTTAACACATCAGGAGGCCACCAGGCTGGGAAAAGGTGACTGAATAGTCACCAGATTGCTCTGGGGCACATGCTTAATAGGCCAATTTTTGTACCACTTTGTAGGGGAAGTTGCAGAAGTCAATATTCTCAAAGCAAATGTTGCTAGAAACAATTTCACTTCTGGTTGTTCAACAGAGAAGCAATCAGATACATGCTCACCACTGAGTATAAATAGATCCTTTGCCAATTTTATTCTGAAGTCTTTGCAAGATCCTATATGACTAACTGCCTCTCTGGCCCAAAAGATTGTTCTTCATACACTCATACAGTTCAGGTCATCATTTTAGGTATCTGAGAGGCGAGATGAAAAAGGCAGCAATCTTTGCTGTAAAAAAAGCAATTCTAAAATCCTGGCTAATTTGTCCATCTGGGTGCAGCTGTCCTATGATGCACAGAAATCTTATAGCAGGAAAAATGTGTATTATTACTTGTTCTCCTGATTGCATAATTTCAATAGCATATTTCCCAAATACATCCTTCAAGAGAAGAGGTTCTATCTAAGCTGTATGAGTGTATACAATCTTTATCCCTCAAGTGGTACTATAAATGATTAGGATAGTAGCCAGGGGATAGTGAACAACAAAGTAGTGTAGGTCAAGAAAATAATGTTTTGATATGCAACACTATCAAACACTCCCAAGTCAATAACTTCCAGTAACACCCCAAAGAATGCTTGCTCTGTTGCTCATAAACACAACGTATTAGTGAAGTCAAGCTATTAATTTCAAGGCAAACTGAAGAAAACATTGCTTCCCCAAGAATAGAAATGGTAGGGTCCAATTCAGCGATTACAGGCAACTCTGTCAGATGTGGCTTCAAACTGTATTCAGAACATAATTCTAACAACCCCACTAATGATCAGTTGATAAAATCTAGCCACTGTGTCATGTTCTGGCTTCCTCCTCTTGTGATGGTAGAGTTGAAAATCTGGTAAAGTCCACACAGATCCATGATGCGGGTGCAATCATAAGGAGACAAAAGGAAGCCACAATGTATGTAAAAATCTGCTGCCAACCAGGAATACATACCCAATGGAACCAATGGAACACTCTCTCAGTAACACAAACTGAATTGATCTGCTAATTCCCCAAGCAGGAGATTCTGGTTGTAGAGGCTTTGTGAATTCATGGATTACCAACAAAACCTGATTTTCATTGTCACTATTCATGGATGGAAGCTGAGATAGCAGATGCCTTTCACAATGAGTAACCACCAACTAAACCACTTGGTCTAAAAGTAGGAGGGAATGGCTACCAAGGGAAATTATGTCTTCTAGAAAGCCTGTATCAGTTGTTCTCATCTCAGAAGTCTCGAAGTATTATCCAAAAGGAAAAGCTAGTCCTTTCTTTAACCAGAGAAAGTGAGAAGCATTTTTATTAACACCCAACAGATCATCTAGATCTTTGATTTAAAAATTCATCATCAGCTTTTATTCTACGCTAATATACAATAAAAAGAGAGATCCTCATCAATGCTGTAGCATCAAAACTGAAGTCTCGCTAGTTAAATCCAAATAGCCCCCACTTTTTAAAAATGGCAGAATGTGTGTAACTTCTAATAACTTGCTAGAAAATTCAATCTCTGAGGTCAATCTTTGGAGGTGAATAAAATGGGAGGGGGGGGGAGAAGCTTGAGTTTAGAAAATACTTATCCAGATGCAAGCCTCTAAATGAGAACCAGGAGTACAGCAGAAATGTGGGCTAAGGAAGATTATGGCAATGGATTCATGACTAGTATGTTGAATGCAAAAAGTTGGAGAAGCCTTGGGAGAAATGATTTCAGGTGGAAAGAGCTTGTTCTAGAATGTCCATGGCATAAAAAAGAAGTCTATTAGTCATGAATGGCTATCCATTAGGTCATTTCCCCATCCTTCCATCACGACTGGGGTTTTGATCAGGAGTGGCTTTAATATCAGCCTGCTGAGTTTGTCAAAGGGTCCGTGGATCCCTCAAAGGAAAACCCTGAGCTACAATCAGAATCAAAAGCAAAACCATTCCCAGTTATCTCTTTCAAGCTCCTAAGAAATACTGGAGGAATCTGCACCTTGCAGCTCTCAAGGAAGGCTGTTTTCAATAGGTGCATGCCTTTGGAAAGCAGGAGCAGCAGTTTATCTATCTATCCATTATGCAGCAATGACCAACAGCATTTAGATTTCAGAGTGGCAAGCAGGTAATGAGCCCAAGGTGCAGCCAAAGCCTCAGGAATATTTTTTATATATTTATATATGTGTGTATATATAGTGGCTTTTAAGTAGACTATTATATACTGGCTGAGGAGAAATGCATAGAAAAAAGGCAGGAGTCCCAACATGGCCTCACTCCATAGTGCCAGAGAGCTCATATTCACTCGGTAAAAATGCCCGGAGTAGGTGCTCTCAGGAAACTGAGACTGCCACTCAACAAGGAAAACCTGTGCTTCTTACATTTTCAATTAATATTGCGCCATCTTGAGTATGAGCAGACATTCTGTCATCGATTTTCTGGGTGTCCAGAGAATAACTGAAGGCAAAAATCCTTCCTGATCATCATCTTCCATTTACATCTCGCTGAGATAGAAGCCCAATTTAGCAATGGACATTTCCTTCCGAAGCCTCGTGACTTCCCAATACATCAATTCCACTGTGGGTCAAAGGAAGACATTAAACAGAGAAGCAAGTGAGAGATCGTTGTAGCAGAAGGCAAACCTGTTTGCTCTATGCTAGCTTCCCCAATGTACTGCTCTCCTGATCTTGGGACTTCAACACTCATCAGCTCAGCCAGCATGGCCAAATGATCAGGAGTCATGAGCATCATTTGAGGAACCTCTCCTTTCCCTTCGGAAAAGCCACTTCGTATTTTAGCAAGAGATCCCCTCTTGCTAAAATATGAAGGTAGAGGAATTGACGTGTAGCATCTGTGTTCCACTGACACAAAAGCAAGATCCTTGCCCTACAATAATGGCTACTTCTCTATGGATCAAAAGGTGGGGAGAGGGGTGTTACTATTGTCCTTTGCTTAACAGTATAATAGCTTCTTTTTCCACCACCATAAGCCCTCCACTTTCTCAAATTACATTTTGACTCTGGACTCAGATTTCTTTTATCCAAGCGCTGTCTTAGTTGTGGCTCTTCCTCCTGTTCACAAGGTTATTCCTTCTGCCCATGACAACCACATATTTATCCCCTCACTGAATGGAAGGCATCTGTATGTTGAAATCCTACCCATTTTTAATTAATATGCTGTCCTAAAAATAATCCAAATTCTGCAAAGATCAAATCCCAACTTGAACCTTAACATCACATATATCTTATTTCTGGAATTTTGTATTTGATTTTATGCACATGAATTTTTGAATCCATTACACATTAGATTACCTAGATTAGTTCAAATAATCTAGATGAACACATTATTTCAGCTAGATTACCTTTCTTTTCTATCTGCTTTGGGTAACATTTACAAGGGGGGGAAATAATTCTCTCTTGAATGTTCCCTTATAAAACTCCAAAATGCTTGGAGTGATTTGGTGGTCCCACTTATAATCACGTAACTTGGTTGGGCACTTTGTGAATTAGCTACAAAGGGAAGAGCCCAAGAAAGAGGAGAATTCTTACCATCTTGTCTCACCAGTCCCTGCTGGATGTACCGAATATAAGTGAAGAAGTTGCATACGGCTGTAATCTGAACAAGAGAACAAACATTACACCTGTTTACAAGCACATTTAGAAATATTTACAGAAAACATCTATGTGAATAGGACAGACAATAGTAAACTCTTCGGTCTTTAAGATGAGAGATTACTCCCTTGGCGTCAGATGCAAAGCACATAAAAAAGGCACGGAGCCAGGCAAAACAAATGCAAACAAGCTGAACACAATTCTTCTGCACGTATTCACATTTAGAGTGTCCAGCTGAAGATTAGATTATTTTCTGCTAAGTGCATTACTAATAAGAACTTACCCTGGCCCTGCAAGAAGGGGAAATGTAGTAGTAATTCCCAGAATCCCCCAGTTTGATGCGATGCTTGCAGGCTCGGGACAGGCCACTCAGAGCGCATTTCCTGTAAAAAGGAAAGTGGGAGTGGAAAAAGTCAAGCAGGATGTCATCTAGAGGCCTTGACTAAAGGGAACAAAACATGATGCTGGTCACCACGAGGCAAACCCAAGCAAAGACCTTCATTTTTGCATCCTATAATTAAAGGATTTCACAGTATGTTGTCATTTTTTTGAATTATTCTCTGTACTATGAATTTATCCTAAAAGATGTTAAGGCTATAAAGCTAAGCATACTTATTAACAAAGAAGTTCAACTCAACTCAACTCAATTCAATACAATTTACACCTGAGAAGTGGATAGTAAACTTGCCACCTTCATATTAGGGACTGTTATACCCTGGGAGGAGTTAAAATTCTGTTTTTAACTCCCAGAATTCCCCAGCATGCTTGTCTTTCTACAGCCCTCCCGCTTCTTGTTTTTGATCTTGGAGGCTAATTAGTATTTCTGTTCAATCAAACTTTGTTGATTCAAACTTTTCTATTTGCAGCTTGTTTGAAAAGTGCTTTTGGGGTATTCAATTTCAAAAGATGTTGCTGCTATAGAGGTTGCAGAAAGTTTGGAATTTGACCTTACTAGAAATAAAATATTAAGAAATGGAAGAATCATAAAGATGCATTTACAAATATTCTGCCTCCATTCTGTTACCTCTTCCTATTCCACAGTAAATCAACTCTATTATCATTACAAAGATTAGCACTTTAGAATATTAGAATTTGTTGCATCTTGTCTTTCTTCCTTCTGTAGATTTATAAGTAATTTAATTTAAAAGAGAAAATAAAAGAAACTATTACTATTAAGCCTCCTGTAGGCAATTCAACATTTCTTGCATTAAAATGTGACATTTGAAAAATCTAGCTATAGGATTTGGGAGGTAACGAGCAACACAGAAAACCAAATAAAGTTAATATTACAGGAGAAAGTTGACAGTTAGTAGACAAAAATATCCCTCTGGGCTTATATACCCAGCAATGCGGAAATAAAGATGAACCATTTCAAAGGCAGTTGTAATTGAAGATTATATGGTATGCTGTCAGCATCCTGGATGCTCACCATTTATTTGATAGCACCAATTGCAAAGCTGTTAGTAACAACTTGAGTTAGTAGCTTATTAATAATGGTGTAAATACTTTTCACTGGCTTAAAAAAAATAACTTACGTTATAATTTGGGACCGGAACCCACTGTGAGAAGAAATAAGAAGTTGAAACTAGTATTAGGCTAGCAATGGCAACATTCATTCTTCTTGGATTAATGGCGGTGTGCGTGTAGAAAGCACAGCTCAAACTGAGGGAAGATTAACATCTAAATTATTAAGCTACAATCCTATACCTACCAAGAAACCTACAAGAAGAAACTTAGAGTAGCAGAATTCTGGACTGCACTACTCCTGAAGTTTAAATGCAGCAGAGAGAATATCTGTCTCAAGGATATGTTATTTCTAGCCCAGCAGACTGGTCCATACCGTTTGGCTCTAAGGTAACCAAGTGCCCCTTCTTGTGGGCCCCCTTGCACTGATGCCAATGGTGGAGGCATTGCACAACAGATGCACCACCCTAGCAGACATCCAGTCTGATGGAAGAAAACAATTGGGTAACTCCAGGCAGTTTAAATCCCTTGCCCAGAGTTGAGTGCAAATAATAGACATAGACATCAAATTTTCTCTCTCTTTCTGCTCCCCTTCCCCAATCACCCAAATCACTTTGTAAGATAAAGTGAGAAGCAATGCTTCATGTTCATCCTGCATAATTTTCCCCTCTGGGCAGGAGAAATGATGCAGAAGCAGTGATCTCCTATCTCCTGTTCATAAAGGTTAGGGCATTTATTGAAGCTTTGTCTCCTAATGTCATGTGGCTCTTAAGAAAAAGTGAGAGGCAGCTGGATATGGCTGCAGTCCAGGTGATATTCTCCATCCTTGATATTTATTTACTTAAATGCTTATGGCTGCCATTTCTAGTAAGCAGCTTTGGGCAATGAACACAATTCAAAACATCAATATAATAATACAAAAAGAAAGAAAAAATGAGAATATGTAAGAAGAATAAAGCAAAAAAAAAAGTGGTGGCTGAGGATAACCATCAGCAATAATTAATTGTATCTCTCAGGCTCAATGTCTGATTCCCATGCCTGGAAGATAAGCATCACTTCAATCAAATTCTTACTTTGCACCAGAATAAAGCAATTTTCACCTAGTGCTCAAATTTTTGTCCATGAAGAAAAAAGATGACCTCAGAAAATGTATTATCCCCGGCAAATTTTTCCACAAGTAGAGTTCAAAAACCCTGCTTTTTATCATGTTATTATTAATTCATTCATTCATTTTTTTCAATTTATATGGCAGCCTATCTCAAGTTCATGAATCTGGCTTTTTAACTTGCAGGAGAAGAAGTGGCAGAACCTGGGGATGGAGTTAAAAGAAGGATCAGCTTAGAATCCCTAAGTAGCCACAAGCGGATCAAGTCCGCTCTCCCTTGAACATTGTGGACCCTTATTTAACTCAAAGCAGGTACTAACGATTAACTGAAAAGATTCCTGTGCATAGACTATTTAGCAATAAATCAGTTTAATTGGACTTTCACATGGTCTTTCGTGCCTGACATTAATAGTGATAAAAAAATAAAAACATTAAAAAGTAGAAAACAAAACAACATTAGTATAAAACAGCAACACTAATCCCAATTACGAGCTTTGGTCCACCACCTTATGTAAATTCAGAAAAGTAATTCCAGTAATTAGGATCTTTCTGACAGATACCAGCACCAAGGCTCTAAAATTCTTTTTTCATGGGCACATAACAAAACCTAAATTGTGTTTACCTGCTTTATTAACTTACTGTCAGAAACAGAGGAAGAAAGTTCCAGCACGTATGTGCACACATAAAAAGAACTGTAATAGTACAGTACAGAATAGTATAGCAATTCACTAACAATTCAAATATTTGTACAAATCTTTTTTCAAACATACCAGATTATACAAAGTTATGGAAAGAAGGGGGTAGAACAGCGAATGAAAACCGCTGGAGTCCAATAAAAGAATAATCAGAACACAGCTAAGGAAATAGTCTTCTTACACATTACAACAAGATATTTGTATCTGCAAAATGAAGTCCCTTACTAAACTTTGGCCCAGAGGATAATTCTTCTGATATATATGCAAATCAAGCATACTGAAAAGGAAGCCAGTTTATATCACTCTATGGGGTCCTTGGTGCTCTCCGAGTTTGGTTGTTTCTTGCAGACATTTCATTGCCAGCTAAGTAACATAATCAGTGCTGACAATGTTACTTAGTAGGGCAATGAAATGTCTGCAAGAAAACAAAGAAGCTCAGAGAGCACCAAGGACCCCACAGTTCAACCCTGAGCTACAAATATTTGAATTGCCACAACCTTCTCCAACGATGGTATCACACCTTGTAGTGCTTTCTAGCTCAATTTAGGTCCATTAGAACTGCTGGTTGTTGTATAATATTTATACTTTTGTATATTCATGTAATCCGATTCTCCTATTACTGATCCCTTCCCTCCTTTGCTTTCTCTTCTGGTTTTTGTGGGCCATGCAGTACAAATTGAAAGGAAGAATACACAGTGGTTCAATAAAACAAATTCTGTGAACAACCAAATAGAAGACCTTGTTTCAGAAAGGCAACTGGTAATGCCGCATGTTAGAGACTAATGATGCGTCTGTGTAAGAAGAGGAGGAGAAAAAAAGGCAGCTGAACAGCTGTTATAATCTTACTTTGGTCCACCGCATTCAATGGCTGACACCTTCACTACAGGCAATGCCTGGATAGCCGCTGGCTCAATGGTAAGGGTGTTCTGCTCCACAGCTGCCTGAATCAGCTCTGAAAGCTGCAACAAAGAAAACAAACACAAGGAATTCATGTCAACAAGGAAGGAGCACCTTCATCTTTTAGAAATCTCTGAATAACTCATCTTTAAACTGACTTCATGCTTGGTAAAGTCCAGGCAAGGGCCTACATCTTCATGATAAATCCTCTTGAGAAAAGGACACGATTTATCCAATGTTGGAGACTCCTTCCAAGCCTGAAATTCTGCAAACAAGATGGAATCCACCTGCAGTGACAGAAAACCACAAAACAGATGTCTGTTGAGGAAAACTAGGGAGAGAAAAACACACGGATATCGATACACAGACACGAAGAAGGAAGTAGATATTCCTTTACACAAAAAACAGAATGTTCTTCCTATTCATTAGGCAGATGATGAGGCAAAGAAGCAGAATAAATGTGACTTATGCGCCAGCGATAGGCAGTTCTGCCTCTTGCTGTGGTTACTGCAGAAAGGGGCATGACAGAGACAGCATCATCAGGAGACAGTGTATTAGTAGATTACAGTAGTACCCCAATAATGTAACCAAAGGGAACATCATTTATTAGTCTATAAATTTTTCAGCATACTGGGGCTCACATGCCATATCAGGGGTGAAGATCTGTTCCCTCTTCACAGTCTCGCATGAGCTGTGATCTGCATTCATAATCAAGCAGTATGTCAAGCAAAGAGAAGGTGGGGCCTCAGCAAAATCTCCTGCTCCTCTTTATGACAAATCGGTTGCTTCCAACAGATCCAGAAGAAGGGAGGGAAATCCTTAGACTGCTCAATTGTACATTCTCCTAGAACTTTATTACTATTGGCAATATGAATGTTAAGCTCTTCCAAACGATATGTATTTTAAATCACACAATTTTGTACCACTGAATAGGAAGATAACCGTATGGATGGCCTTCCCATGAAAAGAAGGCCATCCATACGGAAAGGCCATCCAATACAAAGCTTAGTTGCCCCCCCCCCTTCACCAAAAGGAATTCACTTCCAGTCCCAGCAAGCAAGCATCCCTTCACCAAAGTTGAAAAAAATTGAGGTTTTTTCCAAAAGACTGCATGGCTACTTAGTTGTGTTGAATAAGGGCCCAATTCCAAAACAACTGAAGCATTCTATGTTCTGAAGACTCTGTGGCTGTTACAAAATAAAACATGCTAGGTATGAAAGGCAGGATGCAAGAAATCCTTTCTTCTAGCCACGTATCCATATGACAGGGGAAAGACTCACAAAATCAGAGTCTTTTCAGTTGCAGTGGCACTAAATTTATCTGACAAATAAGTAATAATAATAATAATAATAATAAAGTTGGAAGGGACCTTGGAGGTCATCTAGTCCAACCCCCTGCTCAGGCAGGAAACCCTATACCATTTCGGACAAATGGCTGCCCAGTTTCTTCTTAAAAACTTCCAGTGTTGGAGCATTCACCACTTCTGGAGGCAGGTTGTAAATAAATAAATATTTAATCAAGCAAATAAAGAAGACCAGGCACCCAGGCAGGCAGAGAAGACATTGCTGCTTGATTTTTGTAGCTACCCCTTAAGAACAAAAAAAAAATTAAAACATTCTGTAATGAATCAAGTCTTAAATGCTGATTATTCCCATAAAGATCTAACTGGTGCTTTTGGGAAACCCAAGACAAATAGGACATGGCTGCACAGCCCCTTTCCAATTTTGCGTTTAGCAATTATAAACATTTAGGATTTATGATTCCAAAACTGGACACAGTTTATAGCAATCATGACTGGTAGCCACTGACCATCCAATCTTCCATAAACTTGTGAGTTCTTTTTTCCAAAAGTAAACCAGTTAGAAGCTCATATTTGATTTGTGGGAAAAATCTGTTCTTGGCTTTTCGGTTTCTCTACCTGGCCCACAGAACTACCACAGCCATAGACAAGACCTTTGTTTTAAATCAGAGGTGTGGAACTATGACCTTTTTATGACTTGTGGACTTCAACTCCCAGAATTCCTGAGCCAGTCACACCGGTTCAGGAATTCTGGGAGTTGAAGTCCACAAGTCATAAAGGGGCCATAGTTCCCAACCTCTGTTTTAAATAAAGGCAATTCTCAAAATCCTCAAAATTTGGTACCTCCATGTTTCCTCTTTAAATAAAGGCAATCCTTTTTAAATAAAAGATATCCTCAAAAGACGTGAGTACCTTCAGGTTTTCAGGAAGCTGCCAATCTCTCCCAGCATGTCCTGTTCCAAACGCTGGAGAAGGTTAGAAAGTTCCAGAATAGAAGGCATAACCATGATAATCAGAAATAACTGAATTCTGACATCCTAGCTGCATTTTTTTTTAAAAAAAAAAGGTTATAAAAGGTTCCAATAACTAAGCTACAGAGACTGCTCACCTGAGACCAGGAAACCACTTCAGAGCACCCGTATGGGAGAAGGGGGAAAACATTTAGAGAGAAAAAACACACACAAATGACTGTTAGTATTAAAGAAAAAAACTGAACAGGGGGAAAGTGTTAAAAGTGCATCCAAAAAGTATTTCTTGTCCCCAGAACTGATCCTTCCTCAAAATCACTGAAACCAATTTCTACAGCCAGACTGATTGGGATTGCAACTATCAATATTTTTTTACCAGCCTTGATGTTGCAGTCCCATCCTTTCTGGCAACAACTGCTATGGATAGTGAAGCTAGTCAACATGAAAAAGAGGACACGGCTCTTTACTATCTGTACAGAAGAAGAACAGCTTCCCTCAGACTTTATGACCACCTTCACCAGCAAAGCAGTCTTGTTGACACTGTAGCGATCAAATATCTGAGCCTACCTTCCTAGTCGTAGAGCTACTCTACTTCACCCCACCCTAAGAGAGATTACCTGCCGCGAGAGAGGAGAGGAGAAAGGAGAGTCTGCTGCCGGGAACCGCCAGCCTGGCTCATAGGTGATGTGGATCGCCTTCGCAGGGACGATACAGAGCAGCAGGGAGAGGAGAGTGGGTACCCCAGACTTTAAGGAATGGGAGAGCAAGACAGAGAGGTGACAAGGGCAGAGAGAAGGGGGAAAGAGGAGAAAGACAAGGAGAGAAAGGAAAAGGGTGTGAGAGGGACAGAAGATTAGAAAAAAGACAACCTCAGTCACAAAAGACCTTGGGCACAAATATCCCACCCCAGAAGGTACATAAAGGTGGCCATCCTATCTAATTGTGGCCTAATCCAGATGTACTGGGACATCGCAACTCCCAGATTTCCAAAATTATCTTCCCTAGCAATGTTGGGAACTCTGGTCCAACATGGCTAGAAGCTACAAGATTTGATCTAACAAGAGACTTCTCATGTTTGACTCCAGCTATAGTTAAGCTCATTCATGCCTTGTCATACATGATAACTACTGCTTATTTCTTTGACTCTGGCTTAGTATATCAAAAGAACCCAACCAGAATCAAGGAATTAATCAAAGTCAATAAAAGTTTCCTCAACACTTTCTGCAATGAAGAAGATTGTGTAAGTGCAAGATAAAACAAACTTTTCTACCACATCCCTGACCTTACTGCATTTCCCCATCACACAGACAACACAGCATGGCTAATAATATTTTGCTTCTTCCCAGGGCCTCAAGCTAGATGCTGACCGACCACATTTACCCACCTCTTTGAATTCGCTGTTGACTGATTCCTGGGGTGCGCTTTGGCCAGCAACTGTGATTGCCCCGGTGCTGCTGGTGCTTTTGTTGCGTCCATGTCCCTTTCTGAAGGCTGTTTTGGCAGGGCTCTGAAGCTGTGGGTGCAACTCCCGATTTGGCGAGGAAGGAGTTGACGTTATCACTAGCGTCTTCAAGGCTGTCACCTCTGCTTGCAACATGTCAATCTAACAAGAGACAAAAAGCCATCAGCAATGATCAGCAAAGGACTTGGTACCAGGATTATGCCATGTCCAGTAGAACATTTAATGGCTTATTAAGCCAATCAGTCATGGCTGTTTTTTGAAGCAAACAGGAAGTTGAGTTCAGGAGCTACTAGCTTTATAACCTCTAAATTATGTTTTTTCTTATTTACTTGCACAAACCCCAAATGTTAAATATATAGGCTTTATAAAGATTTTTCCCTGTACATGATAACTACCAAATGCACTAAATAGAAAAGGATGCATATATATTTGCATATATTAGTTACTTACATACCAATGTCGGGTTTTCTTGCTGCATAATTTTTCTTTATATAAATACTGGCAAAACAGGTTTATGTAAAGAAGACCACACTCTTGATCACCCTTCCCCACTTAAAAATTAAGTAATTACTCATCAATAAATAGGAATGAATCGGTACAAAACTTCTCTGCACCAGCTGCTTACTTCCCTCAATCTCATCCCAGGAATTTTTTTTCTTTTAGTACATTTAGTTTATATGTCCATCCCTATTGCATAAACAATTCTGGCTAGTAAATACAATTCAAAGTCATCAATATAATAATATAAAATAAATGTAAGTAGAAACAATAAAGTAGTAGCTGAGGAGAACCAATAGCCTTAATCAACAATATCTTACAAGCTCATCTAACCTCTTGCCTCCAGCTAGGTCTTAAGAGCCTACCTAGCAAGATTGGGGCCAATCTAATCTCGGGAGGAATAGTATTCCAAAAGGCAAGCACAGGATCTAAAACAGTGGTTCTTAACCTGTGGGTCGGGACCCCATTTGGGGTCGAACGACCATTTCACGGGGGTCGCCAAACAAGGCTGTCCGCCATTTTTTCCCCCTTTTCTTTGGCCACGCCCCTGGCACCCGGTGATGTATAAGTGGTTGAGGGTCACCACAACATGGGGACCTGTATTATGGGGTCGCGGCATTAGAAAGGTTGAGAACCACTGATCTAAAAGATACATTTACTGGGTCTCATTATAATGATCTTGTTTAATAGACTGCACCAGAGTCTGCCCCCTTCTCTCAGATTTGATGGAGCAGGTAGAGTCAGAGAAAGGTGATTCTCAAATATCATGGCCTCAGGCCATGCAAGTGGCAAGCAGAATGCTTTGAATTCCATTTGCAAGCCTATTGGGAACCAGTGCAATGTGCAAAGTAAAGGTGTAACTTGGGTATAACTAGGTACACCCATAACTGCTTACACCGCTGCACTGTGGACCCATCTTGCAATTTCCAGATGCTCTGCAAGAGCAGCCCCATGTACAGTCCTTTGAAATAGTCCAAATGGGGTGACTGAACTATAAGAAACTGTACGCAGCGCTCCCTGATCCAGGAAAGGATCCAAATGGCACATTTTGCACAGTTGTGCCCTTGGCTCCCACCTGCCTTTCAAGCAAGAGCTGTGAGACTAGGGAAAACTCCAAAGTGTACAGTATTGTCTATTGCTTCTGTCTAGTAGCAGATATTAAGAGTCCAAGGCTAATCAAGAAATCTGCCACATGGTGACAGTTTTGATAAAACCCGCATCCAGAGCAATAACTCAAAGCGGAGAATGTAATAATATTCCTTCCTCCTCCTATTTCCCTTACAACAATAACCCTGTGAGGTAAGTTGGGCCAAGAGAGAGTGAATGGCCCAAGATCACCACACTTCAGGCCTAAAGTGGGAGTAAAATCCAGTCACCTGATTTCTAGAGTAGCACATTCACCACTTCCCCAAAGTGGTTTCCTGTAGTTTCAGTATATAATGCTAGCCAGGAAATCAGAAGGAATCCAATTTAAATGACAGTAGTGAAATTTATCTGAGAAATGCCATATATCTCTGATCACAATGCTTATTTAAGAACCTAGTCAACTTAATCTTCAAATGAGAGAGTGACCGTTAGTGACCATTCAAAGTTACAACAGCCAAGTTACCACAGCATAAATGACTTATGACCGTTTTTCACACTTACAACTGTTGCAGCATCCCCATGGTCACGTGATCAAAATTCAGATGCTTGTAACTGGCATGAATTTAGGACGGTTGCAGTGTCCCAATGTCATGCGATCACTTTTTATGACCTTCCATCAAGCCAAGTCAATGGGGAAGCCAGATTCACTTAACAACCGTGTTACCAACTTAACAATGGTAGTGATTCCCTTAACAACTGAGGCAGGAAAGGGCGTAAAATGGGGGCAAACTCACTTACAACTGCCTTGCTTAGCAACAGAAATGTTAGGCTCAATTGTGGTCGTAAATCAAGGACTACCTGTATTTCTCACATTATGGCTGGGTAAAGCATTTAACACAAAATCTTTTAGGTGATTTGCTTTAGCTCTGCCAACAGATGGCGCTATAATCACTTTAAAAATGGCAGCGGTTTTTCTGTCGTTCATAGCTTACAAATCCTTTTCACAAATCCTTAGCTGTGCCTCTGGAGTTTTTGAATACACAAGAAGTTCGAGTTCAGCAAGTTCTTCTAAAACTATCCAAAAAAGGGATTGTGGAAGTTGAAGTATCAGTGATGTATCACTAATCTCTGGTGTCCCCTCTCCTGCACAAACTGGTTGAACAAGACTTTTCAAATACCTGAAGGTTTCTCATGCTGGAAGCAAAGACATTTTCTGCTCCTCCAGAGAATGGGATGAAACCTAACTGGCTTCAGTTACTGTGGCTAGTTTGGGAATGAAGATAAAAGTGTTGGCATTAAGAGAAATCTCACAATGGATCCAACAGCTAGGCTTTTTCCAGTTCCTTGAGGCGATGTATTATGCTACTTGGTCCTTTTTTTTCTTCCGTAGATTGTTTCTGAATGTATACTGGTAGTCCTTGACTTATGGCTATAATTCAGCCTGCAATTTCAGTCATAAGTTATGATGGTTGTTAAGCAAGTCCATCACATGACTGCGTTCAATTTTATGACTTTTTGTGGTGGTTGTAAAGTGAATGCTATGGTACATAAGCAAACCATTGTTCATTATGGGGTGTTTTTACCACAACCAGAAATAAACACATTTCCAACAAATATGTCATAAATTATGGTCAGGTGATCACAGAATGCTGCAAATGGCTGTAAATGCAGGGCAGTTGCCCAGCACCCAAACTGCAGTCATGGGGGGGGGAGTAGACATTTTGACTTTGTATCTGGATCACAAATAGCTTTTTTGAGGTTCTGTTGTAACTGAACGGTCACTAAGCGACCTGTAGTAAGCCGAGGACTTCCTGTAGCAACTAAATCAGCCTACATTTCAGCAGGCAGAACATGGTGGTCTTATCTTTTCTCTCTGAACTCTTTCTGGCATCAAGGCATAGGGGTACACCTATTTATGGTCTTGCTCTGACCTACTTAGGCTACAACCCTCTGCTCTCTCCCTTGGAAGCAAACCCCAGCAAACTCAGCAGGACTTGTTTCTGAACTGGAACTGCCAGAATAGCATGGAAAACATTTTCTCCAAAGAGGTGAAATAACATGAGTTTTCAGACAGCTAGAGCCAATCTCCTGCTTCAGCAAAGCTCAGGTCTTCGGTTTTTAGAGGATTTCCCTTTCTGATTGCAGTGCATTCACGTTTAGCCGTTTAGTTTTCAGTTTTCTGAAGTTATTACAAACTCTACTACATTCCTTTTATTGCTTCATCATTACAATCCATGAGGATTCACTGAGAGGAAACGTGTCCCATCAGCTTGGGCTTTGTTACAATTATCAGTATGGGGGCAACAGGCTGACAATGCAATTGAAAAATACACCTCAGAAGCATTCTTGTATGGTTCGATTCCTGCTCCCGTGCAACAGCTTGATTTGGACTACTCTGCCATGTAAAAAGGCCTTTCTAACCTGTTGTCTCCAACCAGGAAGGAGAAAGGAACTGCAACAGATATTCTATACCCAAGTGACTCCCGCTACCTTTACATCTGAAAGAAAAGCCTGCTCCAACACTTCTGTATGCATACACACACATGCTCTACACAGCTGGGAACTAGTGCAAGCAGGTCTGCTATCCAGATTGTGAGGAGAGTCCATATCTAAACGCTTCCCCTTTCAGTGTCAGGCTCATGGACTTTGGGATATGCTTAGTAGATATGGTCTAGTGGTCACCATGATTATACGGATGGAGGCAATGTATGAAATGGATTTGTTCACCTTCCCTTTGGCCTCCCTCAGTTGCTTCTCTGATGCTGCTTGCTTGGTGTTTGCCTCCCGGACCATCTTGTGGGCTTCCTACAGCAGATACCACAAAACAAAAGGAGTTACAAACTTTTGTCAAAGACAATCAGGTTCTCAAAAATGACAAGACCAACTTCTAAAGAAGATGAAGTAGAGGGGTCAACTCTCAAAGAATGTCTTTTCCCAAACTGCCACCCATAAGAACCAACACAGACACGTGGTGGACCAGCACATTAAAATAAGGAACATTTAATCACATACAGCAGAAGTACACAGTCTTTTCTTGAAATCAATGGTGACAGGTGAGTCTTGCAGAAGTCTTGCAGACTTCATGAGGAAGTGGCAATGTGGAAAATGAGTGCAGCCAACATGGAAAGTTGGAATATTGAGATTAAATCTTGATATATATATTTTTTTAAAAAAAAAAACATTCCATCCAACTTCTTCTCCACAAGTTTATTTTTTACGGTTTCTCTTCCATTTGAGTATGTTAGTTTTATGTACTACAAATTGGTGGCAGCTGTGCAGGTGGTCTGCAATACCATAAAAAGCAGTGGAGAGGGCAGGTGTGATAACCGTACAAAACAGGAATGTTTTCCCACCTGCTGGAAACATGTACTGTATGTTCTAAGGCAGGGGTTCTCAACCAGGGATGCTCGCACCTCCTGGGGGTGTGAGATGATATTCCAGGGGGTGCAAAAAGTTGGGTTTTCAAAATTATAGTGTATATGCATAATTCATTGCCATTATTTCGAATTTTTGTAAGAGGTCTGAGAATATATCAGAAGCATTTTAGGGGTGCAGGGTATAGAAAAGGTTGGGAGCTGCTGTTCTAAGGTGACACTTCCTCTTCTCAGGGCCTTTTTCTTTTTGGCAATCAAAATATCGCCACTGTTTTAAATATGAGATTTTATTTTAAAAAAATACTGGATAGCGATATATCTTTTATTTATCAAATCTAAATGAGGCTGCCATAGAATACTTTGGAATTTAGAGAGGATAGGGCTGATATAAATCCTCTTAGCTGAAAGGTCACTGCCAGTCCTAATTCTTAGTCCATTCCCTTCACCAAATACAAAAAAATTAGGTCCTCACATGATTTAGGCCACAAACAGCTTTATGTTTGAATGGCAATTTTAAACTACTTTTACAATATCTGGAGTTCCTCCTGCATGTTTTACTTTTAATTTCATAATTTTTCTTGAGAATGTCTTTAAAAGAGCACAATGTAATATTCTTAAAAGCAAACTAAAAATAAATAAAGCATTCAGTATTCAATTTATATTTAATGTTCACCTGAAGCCATACAGTAGTTTATTAAACACCCACCATGTCTTATCCTAGTGTAGCTTCAGTCAATATGATCTTGCAAATCAATGAGAACAAGCTCTCCTCCACCACACACTTATATACAGGCAATGCTTGCATATTGACTCCCCTATTTAACATCTGTTCAAACTTATGATGGTACTGAAAAAATAGGTTTATGACTGGTCCTTCTACTTACAGTGTGCTGTGGTTACCTGATCAGCATTTGCAACCTTCACAGTCAGCGTCTGACAAGCGAACTCAATGGGGAAGCCAGCAGTAAGTTGCAAGGTGCACTCACGTGACACTGCATTTAGCAACCATAGGTGATTCGCCTGATGTCCACAGTGGAGCTGATGTAAATCAGGTGATGTCTCACTTAAAAGACTGTGTCACTTAGCTATGGAGTTATCTGTCGCAACTGTGGTTGTGTTAAGTGAAGACTACCTGAATTAGATGTGGATTGAGGAACTCAACCTCTCTCAAGTTTGTTCAGAGTTAGGGCAAATCCATTTAGAATATATTCCATTTCTCATTTTTCCAGCCCAAGAGAGATTAGGCCTACTTCTGTACCAGTTTGCAATTTTGATTTAAAAATATTGTGTACATCTCCCCCCTCGCCCCTTTTTTTTTAGTTCCAAAATGCATCCTTAAAATTCAGATTTCAGCATTTCTATTTACATAAGAATTCAGAAAGATCAAACTGGGTAAATTTCCTGAAATATAGGAACTGAGTAAATTCCTTACTCATCCCCAGCTAATGTTCAATGGCAAGAGAATGAATGCACAGCTCTCTAATCCAGGGCCAAGGGTGGATAGCCTCATCCCCCCCAGAGAAAGGCTCTGCATCCATATAAAATGAGAAATTTCCATTCCTATGAGGAATACAACACATCAGGGTAATGAGACAGAAAATGCACCAGCTCAGATTTTGCTGACTTTAGGGAAAGAGAAATGGTTGCTCTGCTAACTGAGGAGAGAGAGTGCTCTTATGCAAACACCCAGTTCCTGTTGGTGCTGGCCTACATAATCAAAGCAACAACACGGTGTGGCTTTTGCTGGATCTAACATCTTCCAGTGGAATACAAATTTCACTGCTCTACACAGTAAAGTTTTCCTGAACATATAAAGTACAACTCCAGGAAATCTCATGTGTCAATATGTTTGTGGTAAATTATTAAAATGTGCATAATCTGAAATAATACAGTCCAAAAAAAAAAAAACCCCAGCATGGAATTCTGTTCTTTCAATAAGTATGGCTTTTTCAAAGGTCATCAGAACATACTTTGTGGGTGAGAAAAGATGCATGGATGATGATGATGATGATGATGATGATGATGATGGTGATGATGATGATGATTAATCCATACATCTCTTCTCACCCACAAAGTATGTTCTGATGACCTTTGAAAAAGCCATACTTATTGAAATAACAGAACTCCATGCTAGGTTTGGAATTCTGTTCTTTCAATAAGTACAGCTTTTTCAAAGGTTATCAGAACATACTGGGTGGGTGAGAAGAGATGCATGGATTCTAGTATCCAAAGAGTTGTCTTCAAAGAGGTACACTGATTACTTAAACTCAGCTTTGGACTTGGTTTCTAAAGGTTCCACACTACCATCTTCAGGATTTGAATGCCAAGTTCAAGTTAAGAAAGCGCCAGTACCTCAAATAAGCTTGCTGTCAGCTCTTCCAGTTCCTGTTCCAGCTGCTCCCTGACTTTGGAAAGTCTCTCACATTCTTCATCTTTCAACTTTAATTCCTGCAAAAGGAAAACACAAGAAATTATGACTCTCCATAATTATTCTAGTTTAGAGAAAGAGAGAGAGAGATACAAACACACACATACACACAGAGAGATCTACCATACACTGAAACGTGTCGACAGCTGTCCACCCCTGAAAGTATTTTTACGAACCTTAACCAAAAATTTTAATGGGCCAGCTTTGCCAAAAATCATATTAACTGAAGAAGGCGATGGCAAAAGCTGGACTTGGACATGTGGTTTAGAAAGTATGGAACTCCGGATCCACTTTCCTACCACTTCAACTTCAGGTTGTCAAATATATGAACATAAAGAAAATAAACCCACTAAATAGCATACCCTAATTTGGGCTTCCCTGTGGGCAGCCAAAGGCAACATGAGACTGTCAGCTGACTATACAAAGTCCTCAGTTGTGATCTAGAGCCAGATCATATGATCAGGAAAGACGTGAAAGAAAACCAGCTGTCAATCAGAGTCTGGAATCTAGAGAAGCAACAGACTGGAACTCTTGTTTGCATAGACAGCACAATGTGAGAACTGCATCATCCCAAATTCCAGTTCTGATCCAGTTTGTTATGGAAACCCCTGGTCTTGTAGCCAATCAGTCCTGCAGTCTACACTATATAGAAGCAGTAGAATATAGTGATCGCTGTTTCAAAAGGAACTTATCATTTATGAATAGGAAGCAGTAAGGGTTCTATAAAAGTGTAAGATTCGCGAAATCAAGTTAAGAAATAGACCTTTGTCCAAGTTCTGTTTAGAAAAACACCAAAATCAGAATATGAAAAGACTTAAATAATATATGTATGAACTTACAGAGTATGGAGGGAATTATATGTTATGCAGTAAAAACCTAGCAGAAACAAAGATGGAATAACATAAACTATCTGGTTTTCTTTTTTAATTTCCCAATAGTATTCTAGCATTTTACCTGCTCATCAACTGTCTACTTCATGAATTGATATGAAATAGCTTTGGGCAGAATGGAATCAATGTAGCTCACAAAAGACGAAGCAGAGTGGCAGGACAAAATGTCAATTTCCTAATGCAGATGGACAACAATTCAATATTACTTGGTGAGCAATTCAGATGAAGCTTTTGGACCCACTGAGATCCAACATCTGAGCCTAGGCCTTATGCTTGCCAACAGGTGGGTTTGGGGCTAGTAGTCAAATTCTCCATCTCTTTTTAACCTCATATTTACCTTCTGAGCTCTATGGAGCTCCTCCTTCAGGAACTCAGAGCCCTTCTCACGGATTTCTACCGAGGAGCTGCGCAAGCGGGAGACGTTCAGTTGTGCCACTGACTGGTTCTCATCCCCACCAGCCAGGCTCTTGACAGAAGGCTCTGGAGGCTGTAACTCTTGTCCTCTGTTAGTTGTTGCAAGAGGCTTCCACTGACTCACCACTAGTTGCTTTTGGAGCTGTGGCCTGGCTTCCTCAATATGGGCCTGGCTGTAAAAAAGTATGTTCAGGATTACAAAGGGAGACACCCTGGCTCCATATGGCCCTTATTTCCCCTCATGGATATTTTTTTCAAAAATCCCATATGAGTTCCATTACATAATTGCGCAAAGAGAGAGGGAGAAAGGAGGAAGGGAGAGAAAGGAGTGAAGATGAACAGACACAACAAATCAAGAATCAAGCAGGTTTTCTTCCTTTTTTAAAATAAGCCTTAAAATTGGCTTCTTTTCTGCCAATGAGTTTTACAAATGGAATTAGCTACTACACGACAAGAAGGCTGGGTTAGAAATATTTCTCCAGGAAGCATGAGAAGAAGAGACACAACAAATCAAGAATCAAGCAGGTTTTCTTCCTTTTTTAAAATAAGCCTTAAAATTGGCTTCTTTTCTGCCAATGAGTTTTACAAATGGAATTAGCTACTACACGACAAGAAGGCTGGGTTAGAAATATTTCTCCAGGAAGCAATCTCTTCAATGTTTTTTCCTTGGCTGAGAACATAAATGAGGCTAATGCCAATTAGCTATGGTGCACTCATGCTCATCAAAAGAATATAAACTTGGTACAGCAGCACAGAGCAAGTATTTTGTCAGAACACAAAAGAAGGCAGCATTTTAGTGATGTCAATACACAACATGTATTGTTATTTTAGCATCACCCAGTGCAGAAGAAGGGCTATAACCCACTTTGCTCCATATACAAGATGCTTTTCAAGCAAGCAGGACCTGGCACCTCCAAATTACAAACCAATTCAATGATGGGAAATGAAAACCACATTCAGAACTAAAGATGGCATCTCTTTCGAATCAGCAGACCTTCAAACCCAATGCTATTCTGTCATGGTGAATTTCTCCCCGTTCCTCCCCTTCCAGCTGCAGCTCCAAGGCATCTGGACAGCATTCTGACAGAACTTGGGAGAAAATGAGGGCAAACATCAAATTCTCCACGCAGAAGGATACAACAATCAATGGTGTCAAAAGCTGTTGAGAGATGAAGCAGACTGCCCTATCTCTAACTAGGTCCCTCCAAGTGCAACCCAGCGCTGGCTCTATACTGTATACTGCAACAGTTCCAAATAATCTGTTTCCTTCAAGGCTTTTTGCATTTTCTCCACAATTATCTCTTTCCTCAGAAAGAGCTGGAGACAGGTCAGTAGTTTATTTAGTATATCTGAATCATGCCTTAAGAAAGAGCACATTAAGAAAGAGTTCATCACTGTCTCCTTCAAAGAGGAAGGCAGCCCCTCCTCTCTCAAGGATTCATTCACCATCACTGAAACACAGCTCTTCCTCACCAGGAAGAAAAGAGGTCCAGATTACTGGGGACTGAGTTGATGTGGAAGTTGCTGCAGTTGCCACTAGAAGGAAGATACATTGTACTAATATAGAGCTCAAAGAAACCTTTTTCTTGCATAGTGATGCATTTTTATCTATTCCCATATCTGTGACAATAACTTTTCAAATAATACACAAACTTGTTCATGCAGAAATATATATAGAGAGAGAGAATCTTTGACTTCTACAATGTAGCTGAACTTCAGTTTCTGTCATCCTCTCAAACTGCCTGAGGCTGCTTGGAGATTTTCTACTCCTGCTACAGAGTGGAAAATGGGAACAGTGAAAACACTTTTTTCCTCTCCAATTATTGTATGTGCTATATTTTCTAAAAAACTCACTTTCATAATTTACACACAGTCAAAAATGGATTATAGCTCAATGGAAGAATAATGTTTTGCACAAAGAAGATCATTTCAAATTAGCTATATTCCAATGAAACAAAACCTTCACTCTCTTGCTTTTCACAACAGGGCCATTGTTGCTTAGAGCTTACATGAACATTACAGCAAACATTCACACACACACACACACACACACACACGCCATATGCATATGTGTGTGCATATGTGTGTACACACAAATAACTGTATTTGCAATGCCAACGAAGACTGAATTTCAAAGCACTCTGAAAACTCAGCATCAAGAATAACATTAATAATAGAATGTAATCAAAGCTCAGCAAATCAAACCAATCAATCCAGAATTCTTTTTATTTTCAATGTACTCTTGAGCTGACCATTAAAAAGATACAAGAGTAAAATCACAACAAAACTATCAACCAATCAGAGATCTTTTCAGACTTTTGATAGACTTGGTAAGATTACTGCGCTTAGCTTTGCGGGCATTCCATGCATACTCTTGGCTCCTATTGAAATTGAACATCAGAGGGCATTTGACATAAAAAAAACTTTTATCTTATTTGAAAAGACATTCTGAAGCTCAACATCAACAGGATACAAGAGCATGTACACAGATACACACACACACACAAACCACAATGTAGAAATCAATCAAATCATTCCAACATAGATAACAATAATAGTCTTGATATATACAACTCACACAACTTCAAAAGTTTCAGCTATGCTTATGAAGGAGACCAAGTGATGCACTCCCGTGCACCAACCTAGGTCATACAGTGGCAACGTTCCTGCCCTTGCTCTCCAGTAGCACAGCAGACTCCACAATGACTTTTCGGTTCTGAACTGTGTGCTTCAATAAGGAATTGTTTGCCTCAGGGTTCCCTCTGCCATTCCACCCAGGCCAGGCCAGGAGTAGCAGTCCCACAACCAGCAGGGACATGGAAAAACTGGAAAAAAAGCAACCTATCACAAGCCACAAAACAAAATTCTGGTCACAGCAGTCAGAACCACCCAGAACTTTCAAAACAACACCACTCTCAATGGCCAGCTTTTGTTCCAAGTATAGAAAGAAACAAAACTCTTGAAGAATTGGACTTTTCTGACATAATGATAATGCTTTGCAAGGAGGAAGTCCAAGATTCAGCCCTTGTTTCCTCCAGACAGGACAAAGAGAAACTTCTACCTAAAATCTTCAAGGCCAGTTGCAGCATTTCTGACCAATGGCCTAATAAAGTACAGCATTAAGGCAGCTGCTTATGTTTTGTATATGCTGGTCACACACATCCCCAACACACACACACACACACACACACACACAGAGAGAGAGAGATAGAGAGAGAGAGAGAGAGAGAGATATCAGTGCAGAGAATGGGTGTATCCTTTAGAGTTTCCAATTGAAATTATCCAAATTCTGAAAAATTTCTAAATGATGCTTCTTGGATGAAGAAGTAGAAAAGCACCTTTGGGAAAACCATGATATGGATGATTGAGAATCTCCTTAAACATTTCTACACCATCCCAGATTTCCTTGTATAAAATGGAAAGAAAAGGGAAAGGGGAGAAGGAGCTAGTAATAGTAATAGTAGAAATGGTAGTAGAAAGCTATTTCTTTCACAAGATATAATGAAGACAAAGGTAAAGTAAGTTGTGCCCGAGCCTATGTGAATAACTGGTTGGATAATAACCAGCTGCTATGTGTTTTCATTTTATTTTGTATATTGTGAAGTTTATATATTTTATTTGTTTTATTGTAAGCAGCCCAAAGTCACATAAATGTGAGACCAGCAACTGTATAATGAATGAAGAGCTCATTAAAAGGAGCCATGGTGGTACAGTGGTTAAAATGCAGTATTGCAAGCTAACTCTGCCCACAGCCAAGAGTTCAATCCTGACCAACTCAAGGTTGACTCAGCCTTCCATGCTTCTGAGGTTGGTAAAATGAGGACCCAGATTGTTGGGGGAAATATGCTGACTCTGTAACCACTTAGAGAGTGTTGAAAATCACTATGAAGCGGTATATAAATCTAAGTGCTATTGCTATTGCTAAAACATCTCAGAATCACTGAAAATCCCTGTGTATGTTTAAAAAGGATAAAGACCCTAAGCCAGAGGTCCCCAACCCCCAGTCCAGGGGTAGGCAACCTTGGCTCTTTTATGATTCGTGGACTTGAACTCCCAGCTATGCTGGCTCAGGAATTCTGGGAGTTGAAGTCCACGAGTCATAAAAGAGCCAAGGTTGCCTATCCCTGGACTGGGGGTTGAGGACCCCTGCCCTAAGCATTATAATTTTTACCTATATTTTATTTCAAAGAAAATATGCCACACACGAGAAGAAAATCCACTATGGAAAAGATCCAAACAAGAAACTACAGAAGCGTAGCCATTATCTAGACATCCCTGTGGCTTAATCCTGGGAACGAAATTGCTCAGGTTTAGCCAGCAATTAGCCTATGGCCAAGATTTGATTACATCAAACTTGGAAAAAAGATCAGGAGTAAATGCTATATATGTACCAAGCAATGGCAATTGTTTCCTTAAGTCAGACTGGTTCAAGTTCATGTGAAGCAAAAAACAAATAAAGGAATCTTTGCAAAGAACTTTACAAAATAAGAATAAGATGTTGAATTTGCCAGTTCTTGTCTTACACTTCAATTTTGATTCCAAGTAAAAGAGCAGCCAACAGCCTGTCTAGGAACCCGACAGAAGCCACCTACATCACACCGAGACTCTTAGGCTCAAAGTCTCTAAAAAGGACAAGTGAAGAGATGGATATTGATCCTGAACATAAATAAATGGTATTTATTTAAATGGACCTGCCTTTTGGCTATGATTAAAGAGCCAGGAGCCTGTGCTTCCTCTCCCCACCTTGAAGGCTGCTAAAAGGAATAGCAATATCAATCCTAACCAAAGTTACGAGCTCGGCAATGGAGTACTAATCAGGCCCTGCTCATTGTTGTCTCACGCAATCAGCTTGCATGAATTTTGCAAGTGCCCAAATGTCTATTTTTATTTCACACAGCTATTGATATCAAACTCATTCCACCACGTGTAAGTACCTATTGGCCCATTTTTCAGCCCCTAAGCTCCTGCCAAAACTAAACAAATGAAATTGGCAGGCAATTTTCCAATTTCCAGCAGAGCAGTTTGCCAATTTACTTTCTGAAAATGCTTCAAGCCTCCAGTAGGCATAGTTTAGCCCCACGCCCGCTGATGATATAATTCCCATGCCTCCTCCAACTATTGCGAAAAAGAGGAGGAAGCCTAGCTCGCAAAAATATTCCCCACCCCTGCATCA